CTCTGTCTGAAATGACCTGTGATTGGACCAATTCTCTCAGACCACTTATATTTCACAAGGTTATTATGGGATTTTTGCATGATGATGCCAAAACAAAACTCCACACCCAGCTTTAAGGTATGATTTTGACCCGACATTCGATTAAATCACTCAAAAATATTTTAAATGCTTTACAAGACAAGACAAGATAAGGACATCAATAGTAACATGCAACCCTGTCTCCCTGGAAATGATATATGAGCCTCCTAATTTGAAACAGCAAACTTGTTTTAGAAGTCAGAATGAGGAAATGTTGTTGACCTGTCACGATGCAAAATGTTTACACTCAACACATCAGTAAAATGTTCACTGATAATATCCCATCTTGGAAGACAGTGTGTAGCAACTACTCGATTAAACGTGGAACTTAGTAAAGATAAGGGAAAGACTGTGGTCTCGGTTGAATATTGGAAAAGTCAACAATGATTTTAGGCATGAGGTAAAACCTGTTTATATTATTAACATTTAACCAACACTGCACTTTTCCTGAAACTTAACCACACTGCTTTTGTTCATGTGCTGGACTCAAGATGAACTGGAAAATTTAGTCGCAGTGCATGTGATAAAGGGTGGCAGTGTGACAGAAGTGCTGTGCTCTTTCAGAGCTCCACCTATTGTATGACTCACCTGAGACACACCAGGAAATGCAGTTTGCTGAGTCTGCTTGCCGGCGAGAAACTAAGACCATAATATTCACCTTCAGACCAACATTGCTGACAGAGTAGAGCTTCAGGAGGGAATGCTGGGAGTAATGGGATATGTGGAATACTGCTGACACCTCAAACGGAATAAGGGTTTTCTGAAAAACATTCCCAGTTTGAAGTGGAAGTTACTTTGACGGAGTTTTCTAGAGAAAGGAGTGGCATCATCTCCTGTCTGCCTGCTGGGTTTTCAGCTTCACACAGAGGAGAATGTCTTGTCGGCTGGAGGAGGATTTCTGCTGCCCTGCCTGCCACGACATCTTTAAAGAGCCTGTCCTCCTGTCATGTAGCCACAGCTTCTGTAGGGCCTGTCTGCAGAGCTGGTGGACGGAGAAACAGTTCCAAGAGTGTCCAGTTTGTCGGACAGTATCTCAGTGCAGTGATCCACCTCGTAACTTGGCGTTAAAGAACCTGTGTGAGGCCTTTTTACGAGAGCGAGGTCAGGAAGCAGCTGTGACACTCTGCCGTCTGCACTCTGAAAAGCTCAAACTCTTCTGCCTGGACCATCAGCAGCTGGTGTGCATCGTCTGTCGGGACGCAAAAATACACAGCGACCACAGGTTCAGACCCATTGATGAAGCTGCACAGGATCACAGAGAGGAGCTCCAGAAATCCCTGAAGCCCTTACAGGACAAGTTAAAGGTTTTTAATGAAGTTAGAGTGAACTTTTATCAAACAGCACAGCACATGAAGGTCCAGGCCCGACGCACAGAGAGGAGGATTAAGGAGCAGTTTAAGAAGCTTCACCAGTTTCTAGAAGAGGAAGAGGAGGCCAGGATGGCTGCACTGAGGGAGGAAGAGGATCAGAAGATTCAGTTGATGAAGTAGAAGATGGAGGTTCTGATCAGAGAGATAGCAGCTCTTTCAGACACAGTCAGAGCCACAGAGGACGAGCTGAGAGCTGAAGACGTCTCATTCCTGCTCAACTACAAGGCTGCAGTGGACAGAGTCCAGCAGCGCCCCCTGCTGGATGATCCTCAGTTGCTCTCAGGAGCTCTGATAGACTAGGCCAAACACCTGGGCAACCTGACCTTCAACATCTGGAACAAGATGAAGGACATGGTCTCCTACACACCTGTAGTTCTGGACCCAAACACTGCTCATCCAGAACTCGTCCTATCTGAGGATCTGACCAGTGTGAGACATGGAAAGTTACAGCAGCTTCCTGAAAACCTAGAGAGGTTTGCGTACTGGGATTCTGTCCTGGGCTCCGAGGGCTTTAACTCAGGGACTCACAGCTGGGACGTCGAGGTCGGAGGCAACAAAGACTGGGAGCTGGGGGTGTTGGCAGAGTCTGTGTGTAGGACAGAATTCACGGGGTCTACAGTCTGGAGTGTAGACTTCAATGATGTTGGCTACAGAGCGTACTCGCCAACACAGAAATACACTCATCTCCCATTCAGAGAGAAGCTCCAGAGGATCAGGGTCCATCTGGACTGGGACGGAGGAACGCTGTCATTCTCTGACCCTAATACTAACACACACATACACACCTTCACACACACTTTCACTGAGAAACTGTGCCCGTACCTTTCCACCAGGAAGGCACTTCCTCTGAAGATACTGCCTGTAAAGATTTCTGTAAGAGTGGAAGGTTAGAGATGAGTTAGGTCAGGGTCTGCAATGTTTTTCAAGCCAAGGACCCCTTAGCTCAAAGACACACGGAGCACGGACCCCCTGCCACAGACAGCGTACTGTATTAAACTAAGCTGCACTTGACATAATTCTCTGAATGTCCTTGCATCTTCTCTTGTTTGTTCCTGCCTGTAGCTGCGAGTGTGCAGTAGTTTCTATCATGGCTAGGTGCATTAGCATCACCCTCTGCACTTTCACTGCCATGTCACCGTCCATCTACGTCCCGACCCTCACCTGTGGTCATGAGCTTTGGGTAAAGACTGAAAGAATGAGATCACAGATGCAAGCGACCAAAATGAGTTTCCTTGAAGGATGGCTGGGCTCAACCTTAGCTTTGAGGTGAGGAGCTCAGACATCTAGAGGGAGTAGAGCCGCTGTTCCTTGGTGTCCAAAAGGTTCAGTTGAGGTGGTTCGGGCATCTGATCAAGATCCTCCCGAGCCCCTCCAGTGTTCCAGACATGTCCAGCTGGTAGGAGGTACCGGGGCAGACCCACAACACACTGGAGAGATTATATATCTCATCTGACGTTGGGACCCTCCAGGAGGAGACTCAGCCCTGGATGAAAATGGATGGATGGATTAACTCTGAGGTTGCAAGTCTTGCTGTATCCTTGATTCAGATCTAAGCTTTAAGTCCCACATTAACAAGGTGACAAAAACATCATTTTTTCGTCTCAGAAACATTGCCAAGGTACGACCATTTCTAAATGAAACAAACGCTGGGAAACTGATTCATGCCTTTATTTCTCTGCAACTCGACTACTGTAACGCACTTTTTACTGAGAGACTTCAGCTCATTGAAAACTCTGCAGCTCGGCTATGAGCCAGAACCAAGAGGAGAGAGCACATCAGGCCAGTCTGAGCTGCTCTGCACTGACTTCCTGTTACATTTAGAATTGATTTTAAGCTCCTCCTCCTTGTATACAAACTAACTCTGTTGTTAACTATTTGCCTACAAGACCACTGCGATCATCTGCTGCTGGTTTACTGGGAGAAGATCGGGGGATGCAGCCTTTGTCAATTATTTTAGCCTTTAACTCGCTCTGCCTTTCCTCACACAGCTCTGAAACTCTTTTAACACTTGATGTTGCTGCGACTCTTTTGAAAATGTTGTACCTTACTTGATTTTTGGTTTTATAATTTTATGATGTCATGATTTCTGATTTAATTCATCTTGTGATTTCTTTGTGATTTTAAATCTGTTTTATGTTGGTTATGTCATGGTTATTTCATTTTGTGCTGCATTTTTTTGTTTGAAAGGTGTAAACAAATCATATTCCTCTTCTTCTTCTTCTTCTTCATTACTACAGCTACTACTACTATTGAAAATCAATTTGAGATTAGAAATAAAGTGATATGTTTTATTACTGAGTGTGTGAATAACATTAACGTCTCTTCTGAGCTTAACTTTATGTAGCCTGTCATATGTATGAAATCCACTATTTAAAGTACTTATGTTTTATGTAAGTGGTTGCAGCCTGTGGCTCCAGTGTAATGATGGTGTTGTAGCATATCGTATGTCTAATAAATGATGAATTTTTGACATTAATATTCTTCAAATCTGCACATTTGTCTTTAAAGTGAAATATGAGATTACAGAGTTACCCTGCAGTTTTAGATAATACTTTGTTTATAACTCACAATTCAATAAATGCACAACTAAACAGGCACAGAATCTTTGTTTGTGTAAAACATCCCATGGTCAGTTTTCTATCTGTTTTATGCTGTCAAAATAATTTGACAACAATATTGTTCATTCTTCTGAACTGTTGTTCATGCTGTTAGTATAACAGTTACTTTATATTTAATTTTAAGTGTATACCTAGTAGGTGATTTTTTCAGAATTATATTATCAAAAATGTTTTGACAGTTTGACTGTTGTATTTTACCACTTTTATGTCTTCCGGGTTTTCATATAAGCCTGGACAGGTTTCTACCACCACATGCACTTTTTATATTTTTGTTCCCGTTCTCCTTTGTATTTATGTATGTGAACAAATAAAGAAATGAAGGTTGGGACATTTTTTTTAAATAAACTGAGTGCTTATAATGTGGAGCAGTTCAAGATCCTTTTTTTAAATCATGTAAAAAAAAAAAAGATACGTTTTAGATTTTTAACAGTATGCTTCCACCATAGACATAAATAAACACATACTTTCCGCAGTAACTCGGCAAATAAAACTCTTTATTAACTTCGCTGATATTCATTTATATTTTCCATTTTATCCCTCCTGGGGCTGCATGATTATTTATTGCGTGCTGTGATCTGAAATGTACCATTTTACGAGTTTGATGGGAGCTCCTGAACGCTTCATTGTAGTGCTAAGATTAATGAAGGTATTAGTGTGAAGGTGTAAATACGACGTATGAGCATTTCCGGTTATGATTTTAAAAACAAAACTAGACATCAAAACAAAATAATATATCGACGTGACATTGAATAATATGACGGATGAAGACCTCTGTAATAAATACGCATTTTGCAAACGTAATTTTATATATAAATGCATACATGCTAACCAGCCTAGCTAAAATGTTCTTTCCGGTTGTTTAATTTATGCTTTTATTTTTAAGGACAGATCAGAGAGCTTCCGGTCCCGTTCGGCTGTATCCGGTTAACTTGACGCAGCGGGGGAGTCCAATGGAAGCCTTCGTCGCAACCCGGAGGAAACAATCGAGTGCGATTTAGCTTAAAAATAATAGCAGATATCAGAATATAGTGTTATAAATTATATATTTCCCAATCAGTCAGGTTGTGCCGTTCTCGCCGTTGTGTTTGAAACTCGCTGATTCGCCGTCAACGACGTGAGTTCGGCCTTGTTTATACTGTGCAGGGCAGCTTGAATCAGGGGAGCAGGCCCGGTCCTGTGCGAGTTCAACGGCCGCTTCGGGTCTGGAGAGTGTTTTGTGCGGATCGGCCCTTTAGCTCACCAAGTAAGTGGAAATACGGATCACACTCAATGTTCGTGTAACAGCAGAAAACTGTCCGTGTTCGGAGTTTGTGCCTGTTGCCCGACACGATGTCAGTTTAGAGTTATTGTTAGTTAGCCGTTAGCCTCTAGCTAGCAGGGCTCCAGTCTCCTCTGTAGAGCTTTCTGCTAATGCTAACGGCTAGCGTTGAAACTCGAGCTAACGATAACAGTAACTTAAGGAGATGTGTTAACATATTTGTACGTTAACATATGTGCCTCCACGTAATTCCACTGACATATTAACGGATTCGTTTTCCCTCCACCCGTGTGTTTTGTGTGTTTTCATTTATTCTTCTGCTAGCATCCTGCCACTGCTGATAACAGTAAGTTAGCGCCATTAGCTCGCTGCCAAGCTAGCTAATGTTAGCCGTGTTTTGTTAAACCAGCTGGCTAAGAAGCACTCAGGCTGTTTGCTAGTAATTCTCACACTCAGCCAGTGTTATGCTTCTTCTGCATTAACCTAAGTGTGAATTAAATTAGATGTATACAATGATTAAATATTACAGATATTATAAACATTAAGAGGCCGTTCTCTTGTGGACAAAGATTTATTTAATCCATGATTCAGTAAGTAATTAATTATCTGATCAGTGATCATGACTGACAGCGGCTCCTGCTGTTTAGTTTGCAAACTGAAATACAGTTGTTGACTAAAAATGTTTTAAAAAACGGTTATTATGAGGAATCACATCCATGATGTCAATAAAAATGCTCTTATGAAGTCTTAAAGGGGAACACCATACAAATTAAGAATTCCAAGAAATTATTTCCATAGTCTTCAAAAGTTCAATTAATATTTGAAAACTTGAGCGACTTCATCTTGAATCCAGAAACAAGAGAGGGAAGTCTCAAACTTGTAATGTCATAGGGTGTAAAGTCTGGAGCTGCTCCATATACAATGAATGGGAAGCTGATTTTATGGACCTGGAGAATGTTTGTTTTGTATATCCAAATGAGCTTTATTCTGGGTTTTTAGTTCTGAATCTAAATATGTACCCATGTACTCACAATGTTCGTCTGGCTGCTCTCAGTCAGTAGGCTTCCATGCACAGTTAAGTGGAGCTACAGTTACAGCTCGACTAGTACGTTTAACTGGACTACTGTCCTTGTCCCAGTATACACACACATTTAATGCTACTGGACTTCCCAGTCAAAGCCCAGGGCAGAAACTATGGAGCATGCTCAGAGCGCCTTGGCCTGGTTGGGTCTCATTGACCGTATACATGCAGGAGGAATTCAACTCCCAATCACATTATCTGGGAGTATTAGTCCCACTGTGAGAAATTTGATCTAGTACGATTTCAGTCAGACTGCCATGTTTACATGGATTTTAAAAGTCTGGCTTAGTCAGATTGACACAATAACTCGTCTTTCTGTAATGTTATGGAAGCATAATGTCTGTCTTCTAGAACATCTTTAATTGTCTATGGAAAATGGGCGTAGTTCCCTTTAAAGGTCCCATTTTCAGTCTTATTCTTTTTTCTCACATTGTCTGCCTGAATTTATCAGTATTCACCCTCTGTCTGGAACTCTCCATTTTATCACCTCTCTCTTTAAGCCCCCCTCCCAGAAAAACTCAGTCTGCTCTGACTGGTCAGTGTTTTCGGGTCCTCCACATCTGCACTGTCATTGCAGCTGGGGGAAAGACTGTAACTGCACTGTAGTGGCACTTTCTATCGTTATGGACTGTTTCACTTGAATTGCAATGCTAAGCACCAACTTGGGTCCATGTTTACTTCCTGTCAGCTGTTGTCATGCACATACACTGCAAACATTCCAACAGGAAGTACAACAGGACCCATTCAGAATGTTTATGGATGTGTTTGTAAACCTAAGCTGATGCGCTACATCAAAATGAGAGCACCGTGGTGTGGGGAAATGAAGCATTCTGTTTATACATGAATTGACCAACAGTGAAGTTAATCCCTCCGCTTGGCGCTCTGCTGCTCCATCTCCTCAGACTGAGTGTGCTCTGCCACTCCGAGAATACTGTGCTCTGGATAATGGTTCAGTCCTACAGTACTCAGAATTTATGCATTTACAGCTGGCGGTTTGTGCCAGAGTGCACTCCGGGGCGTGGAGTGAATGTTTCCAAAGGCACCAAATATTTGCTTGAAGTTTGAAACACTATATAATGCAGTTTGTGACATCACAACTTCAGGGAAATCCCAACAGTATGAGACCTTTTAAATTAGTTCATATCAGTCTCTGTGGTTTAACACTCATCAGTCACATTGTTGAGTTAAGAATATTGATCGCATTTTGGATGAAGGACTTCTTGAATACATTTTTAGTTCACAGAGGAGACGACAGGAGCTCTCTGCTAAGAAACTCCTCGCTCTCCTCATAGTCCTCTCTGTAAAGAGTTGGGTCAAGGGCTTTTGTGGCCTGCCAACTATTTTGCTCGCCATTGACAGGATCCTAGAGAGTTTATTCTTGGATGTGCAGTTTAGGTGACTGTACCAGGCAGGGAGGTGAAAAGTTAAAACGCTCTCAACCATAGCTTTGTACACTAGTTCTAAAATCTGCTGACTAACACAGAGGCCACTAAGTGCTCTGAGAAGAGAAAGTCACTGTGAGCATCCCTTGAAAATAGACTCTGTATTCCCAGAGAAGTTCAGCTGGGTGCCCAGAAATGTACTGACAGTTTCAACATGTCAGCCATCAAATAAAACTGGCTCTGTTTTCAGATCTTGTTTTGTGCAGAAAATTCTTTGGTCTTGGCCTCATTATTAATTAAAAAGGTCTTATGAACTCTGAAACGTTGTCCCTTTCTGCTTTCTTGTTTCCTTGTCTTAGAGAATATGACCCAGATGCAACAATGACATCCAGATTTGGTAAAACCTACAGCCGCAAGGGAGGAGAAGGCACGTCCAAGTTCGACGAGGTTCTGTCCACCAAGAGAGGCACCCTTAGTACCAAATGGGGTGACACCAAATACAAAGCCAAGGTAGGCTCCAAGCGTGCCGGCGCACCCAAGAATGATTCTGTCCTGGAGGTGTACAAGAGACCCCGTCCATGTGGAGATGGCTTGGAGGATCCGTTTGGATTTGACAGCGATGAGGAATCCAAGCCGGTGACGTCTCGCAGTGGCAGCAAGTCATCACCCGCCAAGCCGACCTATGCGGAGCCTCCACAGGCGCAAAGGCCTGGCGTTTCTCTGGACACGGGGAGCAGGTCCAGCCTACAGGGGGCATCTCACACTTTGACGTCCTCACGAGGGGCGTCGTGGCTGCCTAATGACAGGAGCCAGCCCAGGTTGGTGGAGGACACAGCTCGGTTCTTCAACAGCAGCAGTGCTATCACAGGTAATGCACAGGATTTGAAACCTTTAAGCTTCTGAGCTCTGGACTAGGACTCCGTCTGAAGTTATTGATTCATCTGTTCATTAAATTAACGGCTTAATATGGATTGTTGAAATAATGATAGATGCCCATTAGTAGGTACTGGTCTTTAAAGTGTCGCTTAGCTGCACTGATATTATCTCATCAATAGTATAAAAACTTAAATATATTCACTTAAGATTTTTATGAAAAACAACAGTGAATGGCGACGTAAAGTCATTATGATGGTTGATGTAGATTTAGTCCAGCAACTTAGCAATTGCCATTTACAGCACATAATAAACCCAGAATTTTCTTTAGGAAATATTAACTTTTTATTTATTAAAGACATTAGAATGAAACACAAAATGTTCTTACAGTGTAGTCACGCTACAGTCTCTGAACAGACTTAAAATTGATGCTCTAAACGTCCCTCAGTTGGTTTTGCTTTTGAATATAATTTTAAAGTAACGGCAACACCAAAGCACCTCCATATGGATGCCTCTTCTGAATGTTTTCTGTCAGTTGTAAACAGTTAAGCCTCTCTTAACTTTTTTATCTGTCAAAATGTGAACACATCTGACGGGATGAGTGCATCACGAGCCCCAATTTTCACCCAAAAGGAATTGAATACAGATGCAGATGTACAGATATGACGGTTGAGACATTTTAACCCAGGGGTCAGCAACTGTCAATCAACAGAGTCATTTTTGACCAAAAAGAAGTTAAGCAACCCTCCCTGGAGCCACAACACATATTTGAACAGCCTTTTAAGTCTAAATCAGCCTATTGATATTGAAAATAGATGTAAACAAGCACTCAAAAACATGTTGCAGTGGGCTGTTTATGATTATTTGGTACTTAAACTTGGCAGTGTTTGCGGTGAAAGCAAACAAATCTGTATTAAGTGCATAGGCTACACGATTTTACAACTGAAGAATGTACGAATTCATTCCGGCTTACAACGATGATAAATGAAAATGTAGATGTTAAAAGACACTCCTTGTCATTTCCATATGATTTTTTTGTCAAAGCCACAGGGAGCCACTGGAGAGGGGCTCAAGAGCTGCGTGTGTTGACAGCACCCATTACTTGTGACAAAAAAACAAAAATCCTACGTGGGGAAAAATCATCATCATTGTTGGGCAGAGTTGTCTCATCTGTGAGCTGCCTCAGGAGATAGTGACAATGCTGAAACTGTCTGTTTAAAAAGGGTCGGCGGACAGGACAGGTGTGACGTTATGATGACGTGTTACACGTGTTCCCCAATGCAGGAGATTGAAAAAGTGGCTGCTAGCAGTTAGCGGCTGACTCAAAGAAGAAGAGCAGTGGCCGTACATGTGCACAAATTGTGGATACAGCGAGATACCAGAGCTCCTTACCCTCCGAGCAGAGGATGAGATCAGCCACCATATAATAGGGATGGTTAATGATTGTTATTGATGTGTGATGTCATTGTTATTGCTTAGAAAGTACTGACGACATGTATGTTTTATGTCACAGTAGAGGCAGATGCTGTTGTTACATATCATGCCCGTCACGTCCCTTTTGATTTCACTCTATGGCATGCTGTCTAAAATCACACAGTGGAGCGACATGATGCCGCCATGGTTTGGTTCTGTGTAAAAATGCAAAGGTGCAGTAAAAACGTGGACTTCGTAGCATGATCTCTGTGTAAAAGGGCCTAGAGATGTTAACAGACTTCTGGTGCTCAGATGACAAACATGCTGGCCTCTAAAAAAACCAATGCTCCTGCGGACTTCACATTTGTTTCCATGATGTGAGTCTGTTTAAAGATAAAGGTCACAAACGTGTACAGTTTTCACTGAGCATTATCAGACCAGCAAACAGGCGTCGTAACACACTGCACACACCTAAAGGCTGATGTTGAGCAGCTTTGTGCAAAATGATTTAAAGGGGAACTACACCCATTTTCAAAATGCATACATGTCATTCCTAGGGTCTAAGACAGTCCAAAATATCAGTAAACATGAACAACTTCTCCCAAATCCCCCAAACTAGAGTGCTTAAACTCAAAATCTGTGATGTCATAGAGTATAAAGTCTGCAGCTGCTCCACAGACAGTGACTTGGAAAAGATGTTGTAGATGACACTGAGAGCAGTCAGGAATGTTCTGAGTATATGGGAACATTTTCAGTTTCAGAACTGAGAACAGTTCACTAGAATAAAGTTAATTTGGGTATGAAAAAGAAAACAAACAAAATCATTGTCTATGGAGCAGCTCCAGATCTTTATCCTTGATGACATCACAAGTTTAAGACTTCCTTTTGAGGTTTCTGGCTTTGAGAGAGTCCTGATGTTTGCAAATTTGAATTGGACTTGGAAATAACTTAATGGAATTCTTAATTTGGGTGTTTCAGAACAATCAACAGGTGCTTTTCACAAGTGTCTTCTCCTGAGACTTGAGAGATTTCATTTTTTGACCGAAGATCATCAGAGAAGTGAGTTTTTTTGTTTCTCCGCTCGCAGCCGGTTGCTGTCAGTGTCGTTGCTTTCAGCTTGACTCTCCTCTGGCTTTCCGTGACTGCTGCTGGCCACCTGCCAGAGACGCGAGCCACTCGAACGGACTCCTGAACAACAAGCTGTGCCTCAGTGAGCACTTCTGCTCAGAGTGACGTTTCCACAGTGTTGGGACACTGAGCCACGTTGAAGGGAAGCCAGCGCGACACCAGAGTTCAACTGAAACACTGCCATGGCGATGTTGACTCAGTAAATATGACAAAATCCTTGGCCAAATAACTCTTTTGACAAAGTGTGCCAATACTGTAGAGCTGGCTGTTGCTACTCTCAGGCTGATGATTGTATTCAGGAAGACTGTGAGGCTGTTGAACTTTGAAACAACAATAGAATAAAAAATCTTTAGCACTTTATTTATATTAAGCTTGTGGCTCTTTCCTCCTTTGTCAGACTTTTAATCAATCCACAAAGTGTAGAAACATATTTAAGAGAACTATTTTGATTGGATCACAGACATTATTTATCACTAAAAGTCCGTCTACATTGAAAGCTTGCAGCCTGTGGGCGGCAGTGTGCAACCCGTGACCATGAATTTAAGTTTCGTTCTGGTAAATGTGAAGTTCTGACGTTAATGTGATCAAATTGATTTTGTATACCATGTCCTGCATTAATGGACATCCAGAGCGAATCCACAGGATCAGGATTGAGGCCAATCCGGTATTTTTCGATTGATTGGCTAAAGCTCCCTCCCTTTCTAATGCATCGTCTGTTACTCTTCGTACAGCAGCTGTCAGAACCACCTCGCTGTCCTCCTTTAAAACACTGCAGCCGTCTCTTCATGCACTCTGCTGTGAGAGAGAGAGAGAGAAGCATGGAGTACCACAAAATAAACAGAAGCCAGCAGGTGTAGGTAATGATACGTCAACATGTGTCAGGGGGCTGTGTGAGCAGAACTGTGCTGGGTGAAAACAATGACAGCTGCCTTTTCTTTATTTCAGTGACATTTCTCAGGTGGACAACGGGAATTTGTGTTACCACAATAGCGAAGGCCTGACCGGGAATAATCTCTCTTTCATTGGCTGGCACTCTTTGCCTTCATTGGTTGGATTAGTTAGTGAGATTGTTAAGGGTGAGATAAAGTAGGGCAGGTCATTCCTATGCTAGTCTATACAACACAAATTTGCAGTGGACAACAGCTCTTACATGCTGCTGCAGCTGGTTTGAAAAGTGCTTTTGAACAAATTTCACTCTCAAAAGTTCACAATCTTGCTCACCTAAAGGGTGTAGTTGTCTGGGTTTTACAGAGGAATCAATGGGGCAGAGTGAAACCCAAATAATGCTCTCATACTTTGAGCGTTCGGCTTGTTTAAATGTTCTTCTGTGTGAGTCTGCCCTGCTGTCTGGGCCTTTTTTGTAGTACATTTAAGATTCATTCTCAAATGAAGTCCATGACTAAAGTGGGATTAATACTTATGCATCAAATCAACGCTGCATTTACGGTGTACTCTCTGCGTAGATGCATACCCTACGCTGGAGCCTGACGTGCATCTCCCCAGAAATGTAACAACATGTCGCGGGTAAACCTCCAGTATATTTTTGTAAAGTGAAACCCATTTCCATCAGTGGAAAAGAAATAAAATAGCACTTGAAGTCCTGCGTGTGATTTAGCCTGGCTGCTTATCAGTAGAGGAAAGTCTGCTAGCCACTAAGCTAACCTATGCAATATAAATTGTCATAGGCTTATGCTAATAAAGTTAGCATGTTGTATACGTGGGGGAAACGTGTTTAGTATGATAGTTGTTTTGTCAGTGAACTTTGTGAGCTGTAATGGAGCTGAACTTTGTAACATTACCTTTGTTAAATGTTGCTGTTGTCCCTGGTTTCATATGAGTAGAGGAAAAACTGTTAGCTGCTGTGCTAATTTATGAAATGTAAATTGTCATAGGCTTATGCTAATAACGTTAGCGTGCTATATTTGTGGAGAAAAGGTGTCCAGCAAAAGACAAGTGTTTGTCTGTGAATCTTTTTAAAAGAAACTGATTTGTGTATTTGTGTGTGAAAGTGTCTATTAAGCCACGTTTAATGTGTGTTTTGAATCAATCAGATGTTACAACACTTAACAGAAACCCCACCGCCCACTAGAGGTGACGTACAAGTACAAATCCGCCTCAAATAGTCACAAATCTCTGTTACAGCCGATGTGTCCTTTAGTAAGTCTCAAACCTCCTCCTTCTGTTGCCATCCTCTGTGGTCATGAGAGTCAGATAAAAGCCTGAAATGCAGTATAATGAATGATAATGCTCTGCTATCTTATATTATATGTCTAACAGAGCAAACTCTATAAAAAGCTCAGGTGGTCCAAATACCTGAGACAAGATAACAAAACTCTGAGTTGAAAAAGATGACGTAGAGTGCTCTGGGACTGACAGGTCATGTCAGCTGATTGCAGATCTTGGGTAATTGGCTGTATACATTGAATGTACAGACAGAGCACCTGGCTAAGGCCAATTTAATCTTTCTGTAAAGGACAAAGCCTGTTGCCGATGCTCTGGAGCAGCTGACACAAGGAGAGAAATGTCCTCTTGTCATTGTTCACGTTTTATCCTTTGTGAGTTTTTACTTCTCTTTCACCAAATAAAGGCTGAAGAGCAAAAAGTAGTGAAATGTCCTACTTTCTAGTTTTGCCACGCTTCGACAACACTGCCTCCAAAAAAAAAAAAACCCCACAAGCTCTTTTGCAGCAGATACAGATATTCTTTGATGTTACACTGTGAAGCAATTTCCTGTCTTTGCTTAGAGTAACGAGTCCGGTATTGTCACCCGTCTGTTATCCGTGAAGGCAGAAGCGACTACAGGGTGCTAATAACCAGTGTGTGTGTGTGTGTGTGTGTTGTCCTGGAAAGTGGGTCCAGACCCTTCTGAGTTTCTTAAAGACACACACCAACTGGCAAATAAGTTTGACGTGAAGCTTGGTCGCAGCTCCAGCTGTGTGTGTGTGTGTGTGTGTGTGCGTGCGTGTGTGTGTGTGTGACCTGTTTTCAGTGTGTAAAAGTGCTTTTCAAAATGGTGCAATCTTTATGCACAACATGGTTCTGCTGCAGCCTGTGAAGAAGCAAACTGTGGGCGCAGTGCTGTTGTATCAGATAGATGCTGTAGGTTTCAACTCGTCATTATTGAGTCTGAATAAATGCAGCTGATTAAAAAAAATGTAAAACAATTGGAAAACGATTAAGGTTTGAAAACTGGACGGACCGTAGCTGTCTCCACAAACACATGTGAAAGAAATTTGCATCCATGATCATTCTGGTGTCAACCTAAAGCCCTTTTCCCTCCTGAATACTAAATGATATCCATCTTTTTTGTTGGTTGTCACCGCGGCCCATTTTCTGATATTTTATGGATCACACAAGGAATTACGATATCTAAAGAATAATATAAATTGATAATAAAAATATCAAATAGTTGCCATCCTCGTGTATATTAAGATACCTGGATATAGGACGCTTAATGTTGTCCAGTAGTAGACAGGAGCTCTTTTTACACAGAGATCTGCGATTGGGCTGCAACAAAGACCCGTTATTGCGACGGCTTTGGTTTTTAAACCACTCTATCATCATGCCACACCAGTGTGTGATTTTTGATGTAATGCTGGCATTCTGAAATCAAGACCGGCGTGATGTGTGTGAAATATAACGTGAGCACTGGGCAATGCTTTTTAAAAAGCATCAGTGGCATAACGTGGTAATAACAATGATTTATCTGTTATCCTGGTCAAGTAAAACCTGGAAAAGTCCTGAAAATTCTGGAAAAGTCATGGAATTAGTTACAATCTTTGAAAGATTTGAAAAAGTCATAAATGTTGTGTGTAATAAAACAGTCACAGTTATTTCCTGTGGGTAACCTTCCACTTAGTGCAACATAGTAGCAAATTCACTTCCTGCAGCTGTTGCATCAATGCATATGCATCAGTGTGTGACAACATTTTGTTTACCATCACGGATGTTTCTTTCTCTCCCTTCATGTATGCCAGCTAATTGAAATTATGTTTGGATCCGCTATGTTTGAAATGCGCTGGCAAGGAGGGCAAGAAAAATAATCTGTGTTATGTGTTCTTGAAAATTCACAGAATAGTTTTGAGTTTCAGTTCATACAAATATGTATTTGGCAGTTGATGTTGTCCTCTGCTCTGGATTTCACTGTCTGCTATCTTTGCGGATTTTTTTGGTGCTTCTTCTTTGATTTGGCTGCTAACTGCTGCTAGCCGCTTTTCAAATCCCCAGTGGTGGGTTGAACACTTACATGTTTTCAAAACTTCCTCCGCTGCCGGCTTAAAGGCGGGAATACTCTGCTCCCCCATTCTGCGATTGTACATTTCAAACAGTGGTGTGATACTCCCGCCTTGAACAGGCAGTGTAAAAGAGGCTAGTGTCTAACTGACCAAAGCAGAGATCCTTTAAAAGTGTGAAGTTTTCTTATTCATTTAACTTAAGAACATACAAAGATTTGATGTCACTAGTTCGTTGTATTTGACAGGACTGATTTTGGGTCTGTTTTTCTTTTGCCGTAGGGAATTCCCAGCAGAGCTCTGCGTTGTCAGAGAACCAGCACAGCTATTCGTGGTACCAAAACGCTTCTGAGAGTGATAAGAAGCCCCTGGCGCAGACCACCGCCCTGAAGACAGGGTCCAAGGCAGAGTCCACCTACGATTCCTGGGATGCCATCATGGGTCTCCGTCCGCCCTCACCCGACCAGGAACCTCGCAACCCTGCCCCCACGCTCTCTTGGGCTTCAGCTGGCAGCACCGTGGGCAGCTCTGAACTAGGGCAGATCCGGCACGAGAAGCCCCCCTCTCCCCCACGGCTCCAGAGCCCCAGCGAGAGCGAGGACCTGGGAGGTGACACGGACTTCCTTGTGGAGACGTTGGACTACTCTCAGACCTCCTCCTCCTCCTCCTCCTCCTCGTCACTTGTAAGAAACTGTCGGACATACAGGAGGCCTAACAAACAGGGCTCCGGCAAAGCCTCGGACTCAAGCGGCTTTGCCAGCGCTGTTTCTGCCACAGACCTTCCCAAATCCACCTCTGACGGCAGTAATAAGATGACAGGTGGAGGAGGGGGGCGGGGGCGGGGCAGGACAAGGGACTTCACGGTGCTGCATCCCTCTTCAGTGTCGATGTGTAACGTCACCATCCAGGACCGAGGTGTGGAGGAGTTTAGTTCTGATGCAGCACCCTCTAGTGGCAGCAGTAGTGCAGGTTCTGGCAGCACCACAGAGCTGGGAGAGGCGGGGTGGCAACGGAAGAAGACAGAACAACAAAACACGAGGTAGAACAACACACAGTAACAGGGCCGGGCCTTTTGTCTGACTTATTTCTTTAAAAAACAGAACAAATATGTTGTTTAAATAACCAGCAACAAGTGAGACAAGTGGGTGCAGGACTGATTTGGAAATTCACCATGACTCCACAAGTGTGTGTGTGTGTGTGTGTGTGTGTGTGTGTGTGTGTGTGTGTGTGAGAGACAGACCTTTAATCAGTCTATCTGCTCTCTAAGTTTAATTGGTGGTTTTTGTTTTGAAGGTTCATAAACCCACAGAACTTCTCCTACTGCTACTGAAGGTTCAGAGTTTCCAAATATACAAAATATTCCAGGCTGATATTTGGAGAAACTTTTCTAAAATGATGCACAAATCATTCAGAATATTTCCATCTGATGAAATGATGCAGCTATGAAAAACAGTTCAGGGGACCTATTATGCTTTCCGTCAAGGTGCATTGCATTCTGGGTCGTAGCATCTGTACCTTAGGACACTCTTCTTTAATGGAGACAAAAACAAGAATGGAGCGGTCAAAGAGCAAAAGCAACATTTCCTTAGAGAGAAGCTGAACAAAGAAGCTAAGTAGCACGCCTTTGCCAAATTAAAGGAAATAAACAGCCCTGATCTGTACGAGGTTGGGACGTTGGTTCAGGTAAGCTTGTTAGAAAATATTTCAGGTTGAGGCCGGGTGGGTCATAAAGGTGACAAGTTATTATAAGTTTCACAGACATACATTAATCCAACTTCGACCTTCTCCTCCCCTTTCTTTGTGTTTTTCTCCGTGTGTCTCGGACAGCAGGCAGCCTTATCATCAGTGCTGCTGCGCTCACCTCCCCATTATTTGGCTTTTGACCAGGAAAATTTGTCCAACATATTTAAATCTCTCCAGTCTTAGTACTTCCCTCTGCAAATATTTAGGCCTAAAACTGTGTCCTAACAGCGAGCAAGTGCCTTTCTGTCCACACTGAATCCGTTAAATATGCACCTCTGGAACCATGACATGGGATGCTTTTCAGTTTTTTTCAGTTCACAGAGTTCAGAGCACTCCGGCAAAAATGCCAGGCGTCTAGAGCTCAGAAACATGAGGCATATAGCAACGCAAAAACAGCGAGCAAAAACTTTCATTCGTATTAAAAACATTTACAGAAAGCTTCTTCCAGCTGCTGACATGCTTTTGGTGCGATTAGGATTTATATCATCTTTAATGTCGGGTTGGAATATTTAAAACAGCACATAACTTTAATAAAGAGAATAAACAGGTATATGATGCTGTCAGACTATCTGGAATCACATAATTTTAACAAACGTAAAGAGGAACCAAATGGGAGACCTAAACATCTACAGTTATTGTAGATCAAACTAGATTTCATCTCTGAGTGATGGCACAGTGTCAAAGACATTTAAAGTTTTCCCGCTTTATGTTTTTAAAACTTCTTTCTAGCTACTTCCTGAATGGTTTCACTGAGAAGCTTGATGAACTCGGAACAATCAGTAAAGCAAATGGCTTGAACAGGTTTTGTATCGAGGTGTGTGTGTCTGCTCACAAAGGGACAGTTCATGTTTTTTGGGAGCTTTTCATTTCACGCATTTACATGTATTCATCTCTCAGTGTGAGGCTCCAGGTCAAAACTCTGTTTCATTTTGGCCTCAGCCTCCCTGCACATTCACTCCTCTGTGACATATCTCTCTGTCATACTTAATCCTTTTTTTGTTGCCCAGGACAATACATAAATTTTACCTGGATGACACACATCAAAGTGAGACTGTCCCTTACTGTCACAGGATGTCTTCTGAATATTTTTGAAATGCTGCAAGAAACACAATTTTAATTAAGTTTGCTTTCATTACCTGGGTTGGAATGAACAGATTAGTTTCCTCAACAGGGAAGAGTCTCATGAAAGTGTTAATTAAGATTTGGCTGGTCACTTTCATGTCAGCTAATGCTGAACACATTTTACTGAAGCCTGAGGTTGGAAACTAAGAAATGCACTCGACAGGACTCGCTGCAGAATGGTGCACCTGAGTGAATTGTTGAAATTGATTTTAATTAATTTTTGAAATTCATAAACAAGCTTTGGCTTTGTCTCCTTCCTGAGTGCAGGATGTAAACAGTGTTTGTTTCTCATGTGTCCCTGTCCTCGCCTCAGGTTCAAACAAACCCAGACAAAGTCAAAGAAGGACAGCAAACTGGACCTGTTTGGTTTCGATGACGCAGAGGCCCATCAGGAGAACAGCGCAGACAACGCAGACGGACGATCCAGTTATAAAATCCAGTACTTTGGCTTTGACGACATGAGCGACAGCGATGGCGCAGACGACGATGACGACGACGGCGCTAAAGAGAGGAGGAGGGCCAAGAAGGCTGCAGCCGCCAAGAGAACCCCAGTGGTTACTGTGGAAGATACACCGACCGCTGAGCCGCCGGATCCCTTTGAGAGGCTGGAGAGGCTGGAGAGGCCGATGGTTAAGGAGAACAAGAAGAACTCTGAGAGGCCGGAAAGCAGGATACGAGCAGGTTCATACATACACACATGCAGCTTACCTAACAGGGAGTTTTGTCTGTGTAACAGGGTTTCTAGTCTAACTGAAGACTTGAGGTCATTTGCTTTGTGTAGTGTTGACATGTAAACACCAACACAGAGCGCCCACACCATCACTGATACACAGCGCTGTGTTTTTACCCCCATACCTCCAGCATACACTTTGAACCCATCCTCCCGCACAATACAACGCCCTAACACCACTAACAACCATGTCTCAACTGAGCTCATCCTCAGCAGCCAGTCAGTAACTATGTTTACATGCACAATAATTTTCCACTGTTCTTCTCAAGATGACAATATTCCAGATTTGCTATGGGTCACGTGTAGGGGTGTAACTCAATAGTTTCATCACAATATTATGTAGAATGGGGGAGCAACAATGCTACTACTGTATTTGTATTGAACCATTGGGTATGAGGGTTTTAGTTCAGTACGCGTTACAAACCAAACTTTACGTTGAATTAGTGGTATCCTGTTACACTTGGAAATTAAAATCTACAGCTTAAACTGTGTTTAATTTGATCTTCTCAGTGCCACAGTGCTCAACAAGGCAGCCACAGGATGGGACAGACAACATGCTGTCTGCCCCTCCCACCCCTGAGAGTGAGCAGTGAGACACACTGGGAAGCAGCTACGCTAAGCTAGCTTGTTACAAGATAGTTAATAGCAGCATGACCAGACCAGCAATAGGTAACCTACAGATCTGCTGTTTGGCGTTGAATTATGAGAGAGAGAGAGAGAGTGGTGGAGAAAAACACACGTTACCAAAGGACGAGCCGTTGCACAGCTACAGACTCCAGTTAGCAGCTAACCCAGTAGTACAGTTACATACAGACTCTTTAACAGCCAAGCCAGCAGCACACACGGTTGCCCTAGAGCCGCTGTGAGGATACAGCCTCTCGTTCAGCAGCCAACATTAGCACCAATCACACACCCATAGCAGTGATCAGCGTCACAGATTCATCTAGAAAGACTGAAAGGTTTGTTAGCTATACGGCTGTTTAGCTTGTGTTTATATGACTGTGACATTTGAGATGTTTATTCACGAATTTATTTGACTGAAAGGGCTCAGAGGGCTCGTGGGACACAGCAAACTGACCACTAACACACAGTGAGGGAAAGAAACGACACTGATACTATGAGCTCAGTAGTAATGTCGTTTTTATTAGTAGGACACAGAAATGGTGAAAAACAGTTAAACTGTCTAACTCCAGTTCAGTCTTTCCACGTGTTTTCAGTAAGTAGTTTCTAACATTTAGAAAGTGTTAAGAAAAAAAAGTCTCTGATTTTGCCTTACCCAGACTTAAATAAGTCCATTTCAGCCAGACAGTAGCTCCTGCTTTGTATAAAAAAACAAAAGCCTTAATGATGTTAGTTTTTATTCACTTAAAATTTTAAAAATCAAGGAAGTTTCTTTGGCATTTCTACTTTTTTTGCTGTATCGAAAATGTGCCAAACGGTGACACCACTGTATCATTTCCAACCAAACCTTGGATTTTGTGTACTGCTACACCTCTAATATAGAGTCTTTGGATAGTGATACTATGTTTGCTGAAATCCTGGAGTCTGCTAGCGTGGCGTTGCCAGACCCAATTCGCAAAATGCGAATGGGTCTGGACACAGACTGTACATTTCCTCTGTTCCCGAGGGGCAGTATCAACGGCTGTCACTCAAAGTGCCCCTTCATGCAATTGGAAAGACAGAAAACCAATCTGAGTAAATGAAACGTGTGACGTAGGCTAGCACAACACCACTGTGAACAGACCAGCAAGCAAGTGCAGCGTGCAGCGGAGATGAGCTGGGATGATGTCTGGGAAAGAGTGTTGCCATCTTTGTGGATTTCCTCCTCACTGTGGACTCCGAACTTGGTCGCTTCCCTGACCTGCTCCTCCATGAGAGCGTCTAGTGGCGAAACAACAAAAGCCACTGGGTTTTCACTGAGTCCCATCTTTTTCCCGATCAACGCAGCCAGTTGGTAAATTAAACTTTTACCAACCCATGTAGGAAGGACGGCAAACACATCCTTTCTTCAGTAAAAGCTTTCAGTGCAGCCGTTTGCTCTGCTTTTAAAGAAAATGTACATTCCAGTTCGTTCAACACATTTACCATCGCAGTTTCAAAATCAGTCGCCATGCTGGTTGTTTACGAAATGCATTCACTCTGCTCCTTGTCCCTCCTATTCTGATGACGTGATTTCAGCCCGCCCCGAAGTAACTAATACTGACTAATATTAGTTTCAATTCAGGAGCCTGTGATTGATGTGAGATAATATCATATGCTCATTTAACACACTGAGTTACAGAAGCTTTATTTGGCTATCAGAGATAAAAATCAACCCATAAATAATTGTAAAAAAATGTAACCAGTTAAAAATGCTGTAAAGTTTGCTTAAAACTGAATATTGTCTTTCTCAGAATAAGGGCAGAAACCTGAATATTGTGTGCATGTAAATGTTGTCGGCGTGTACTGTCTCAGAGTGTGTTTACGTGGTCTGAACACGGCGACAGAAAATAAACTGAAAACCCTGAGAAACGTATGTATGTTTGTCTGCAGACCTCCTGGACTTCTCAGAGGATGGCCTCAGAGTGTTGGCCGGAGTTACCAGGAGGCAGCCTCCGGGAAAACCAGCCGAGAAGAACCCAGACACCTTCAGGAGGATCTTCAGTGCACACAAGAAGGTCAGACACAACACCACGTTCACCCACATCACTGCCAGGCCACACCAGGTGTTATGTCATGTTACTCCTTCTTCACTGAAAAGATGATGCAGATTACTGACACATAATCAGAGGGTCCTCACACTGCTGACTGATGCTAATTGATATTTTTTCTTTTCAATAAATCCCATGAAAAGATCCAAACCGAAGCCGTTTCCAAACCCGTAAACCTAGCACACAAATCAGACGTCTTCTCACCAACTGGAAGTACTCCATTTGGTTTAGACGAGGGGTGGCGCCTAGGTAACGCCTGCAGGAGGCGGGACGTGATGCAGAAAGTTTGATGCAAAAATCACAGTGTTTGGTTTACACAGCAGGTTTGTAATGTGGTTATTAACAACCGAGTCTCTTTCCGTTCCTTTAATATGTCTGACGATTTCAATTATGACTTTTGACAGAAGTGTCTGTATCTGGTTGTCTCTACGGTCAGACATTTTCATTGGTTTCTTCGTGTAAATCACCCTTTTCAGACCAGTGGAGGTGGTAACAGCGCAGAATTGGCAGCTGTGTAAAAGTGACAGCTGGCAGGACGGGACCATGGACAGGACAGGTGTGATGTTTTGATGGTGTTTTATACACGCGACCCATTACAGGAGCTTTAAAACGCAGCTTAGCAGTTAGCAACTAGCTAACTCATAAAAGAAGAACAGCAGCCGTAAATATCCCTGAACGGTGAAAACAATGAAGTCAAGGAGCTCCGAACAGAGGATGAGATGAGCTGCCATATAACAGGGACGGTAAATGATTGTTATTGACATGTTACATAATTGCTCTGCCGACGCACGTCACACTAGAGGCCGATGCTGTTGACTTACACGTCAAGCCTCTTTTGCTTCTGAGGCACCGGCCTGCTCTCTAAGTCATCCTCTGGAGAGACACGATGCCTCTGTTGTTTGGCTCTGTATAAAAATGCAAAGGCGGTGTAAAGAAGGGAGTTCGTATCGGCTCTATAGCGCCATCTTTGTTTAAAAAGGGCTGCAGTCACACAGCAGAGGGGAGCGGCTTTCTCAGGGGCTTTACCCACTTATCAGTTAGCACAGTCCTCCCCTCTTCAGCTCTTCTCAAGGACGTATGTCTCTGTGGGATTGGTGGAGGCTGCGCAGCCATCGGCCACTATCAGAGGCAAGTTCTGCTGATAACAGTAGTTTAGAAAACAAATTCTTGGCGCCAACTCATCGGCCAAACTGATGCGTTGGTCGACCTCTGATGTGAAACACTCGAGTGAAATATTTGAATCCTCAACAGCAAAACCTTCCCTCGTTAGGTTTCAAAAAGAGATCTGCATGTACCTGTGGGGACGGGACTTTCCACCTACGCCCAGTATGACTCAGTACCCTGTGTGTATGTGTATGTGTGTATGTGTATGTGTGTGTGTCTGTGTGTGTGTGTGTGGGCAGAGCAGAGGAGTTCGGTTCTGGTTTATTCATGGCTGAGTGAGTGGAGGCACTGAGTCGTCTTTGAACATCTCTGAACTGCATCTCTTTTATTCATCAGCGCTCTAATGGCCTGTCGCTCGGCGCTCAGTCTGACAGGGCTGACTGGATATCAGACTACTGATTTCATAAGAGCCTTTTTATAGTGGAGATCAGTGTCACTAATCCAGACCTGCACCAGTCTGAAGTATTTACTGTGCATGAACCGTCAGCGTTTCCTTCTCAGGGTTATTTTTGTGATCTTGCATGAATCTCAGTGCAATTAAGCCGTAAATCAGGTGCAAAACTTGGACTGAAAAGATAATTTAATTTTCATCTCGTTATGCTGTAGGAGTGTTGTTAATTAGATCTCATCGCAGTTTCTTTAGTTTGTCGTAACGAGCTCTGCGAGGCCTCTCTTCATCACAGCTGCTTGTTAAACAGGTTCGTTTTAGTTTGCAGCATTTTAACTGTCAGGGAAAGTGATTCATGATTATAATTAAGGAGACTCATTTCTGAATCTAAATTGGTTTCCTAAATGGGGATCTGGATCAGCTAGAACAAAGCAGATGCATGCTTTTGGTTTTTATATTATAGTTTACACATTATTTATGATTTTATTCTCCTAATGGTGCATGGTCTTTTAATCAGGAGAAAGTCAGTTACTTTAGTACATCCACGTTTCAGCCCTCCTTTAAAAACCCAGGAAGGCTTTTTCAAAATGTGATAACTTCCACTCAATCCGAGAGAAATCAGTTTGTGTAACATTAGGTGTTAATTAGCAGCCCTGTAAGTGACCTGTGTTTCATGCTCTCAGAAGCTTTAGTGGAGGCGGAGATAACTTTGTTGGGAACTTCTCTCTCAGCACCTGCGGGGAACTTTTGAAATGCCAAATGTAAAGTTAATTTCCTCTGCATCTGCCTGTTGCAGACCGGCTGTAAGAGTATTAGCAGACACATCGCCCGTAGGAGCATAATAATGTACTTAATGTACTCTCTCTCGTTCCCTCTTGTTCTCCAGTTTCACCGTAACTTTCCTCCCTCTCCGTTGAATAATTTGCTCTCCTCTCTGTCTCCATCGCTTCCTCTTGACCACCTCGTCTTTGCTTTTTACCTCCCTGAATAATCTCCTCCACCTCACCCCCCTCCCCTTTGTTCTGTCTTTCTCTCTCCGACACTGTGCGTTCTGGCTCCCTCGCTCCATCTCCAGTTAACATAATTGTGAGCGAGTGCCGGGTTGAGCTCATTATAAAAACAATAGCCCCGTGAAGTGACCGGCCTACAGAGGAGTTGTCAAAACTCTGCCTCAATTACAGTAAACTGTGAGTCTGCGGCGTCGGCGGAGCCAGAGGGCTGTTAGGTTATTCTGCCGAGGATGCTGGGAGATATTGGATTTTACCATAATGACAGTGCGTAGATGGACTCATCCATATTTAGGAGGAGGTTTATTTGGGGGACGTTTTTATGGGACAGGCAGTGATAACTTCCATAACACTGACCCTCTTCACAGCTCTGGCGTGGCTCCTCTCACCGTTGTACCAGTCGTGTTTTTTTGTCATCCCACAAAAGATCTGTTCAGTCCGTCCATCATGTTTGTAGGTCAAACTCAGGCTGGGGATTGTTTTCTTATCATACCTCCACACCAGCATAGCTGTGGCCCGGAGACATTATGTTCGTAGGCGGTCTGTCCGTCCTTCCATTTTCCTGTCCCATCTTTGTGAATGCGATATCTCAAGATTGCCTCAAGAACACCTGAAGGGAATTTCTTCAGTTTGGCACATAGTTCACTTGGATGAGGAATAAACGGCCTACCACAAAGACCAACTGTCAAATCTTGCGTGTGCATGGTCTTAACAACAACAACAACAATGGAGGAGAAACATGTTCATATACTGTAGACTGTATATTAGTATTTGGGATGTCACGATTATAGATTTTCTTGGTACGATTATTGTCAGAGAAATAATCACGGTTTTACGATTATCACGATTATTATGCATTAATTAATTTCACACTATAAATGTGTAAAATCACATGAACACTCCTTATAGATCTTTAAGTTTCTTTTATTTCCATGTGCTCCTGCTTTTTCTTTTATCTCTCAACACAACAGTGATGGTTTTAAGTACGTGTGGCAACTATTTTGTTCATGTATGAAAATATAGTAGCCGTACAACCGGGCTTGGTAAAGTGTTTTTAAGTTGATGTAAAAATAAACGGCGAACATTTGTGAAATCCCGCACTCGTGTGGACGTGAGTTTCTGCCTGTCGTCTCACTCCAAAGAGCTACACGGACCCAAAACCATTACAACCTCAAGCTGTGTGCACACAAACTGCAAAACTATCCATTGAGACGAGCCTTAGCTTGTCACGTTGCACTGTAAGCCTAACTCGTATCATACCACTACGCCATTAATTGCAAATGACACGCTAACATATAATTTTTTAATTCAGTGTTACATTAAATTGAGATTGACGTATATTAACCCAGTCATTGTGCATTTACCTTTACTTGTGCATGTAAAGCCGGGTGGTTGTCCCGCAGGTGTTGTATCATGTTGCTCTTGTTTGATCCTTTGGCCGCGACTTTTTTGCGGCATGTTTTACAAACTGGAAAGCCGTTGTCAACAATGACCCCTTGGTCATTTTGCAATACCCAAAATGATCCCACACGGCTGACTTTATCCGTTTTTTGGGGGGGAATAAGTCTTCTTCATCCATACTTCATCACTCGGAGACGCCGCTTGTGTAACTTTGTTTTCGTTCCGTGCGAGTTGCGCTGACCTACTGTCTATGGTTCCGTGTCGCGGCATAATCTTTTGAGAGTGACGTTGTTGAGGAATCTTTACGAATAATTAACTGTGGCGTTTAAAATCGCGGTTAATAGTGAAATAAAGTAATCGTGATATCCCTAATTAATCTCATGAACCCACAGAGATGAGTACTTTTTTGAGGTACATGGGATGTATTTTAACCCTTTTTGGGAATGAATATTTCCCATGTAAACTACCTGGAAAGACTTTAATTCTGAATGATTTCATTCAGATTTACTTCATTCTGAATGAGAAGCATCATGTAACCGCACCCAATAACTGAATACTAAATGATTAAAGCTGTTTTTTAAAAGCTTGTGCGGTCGACTGTGACCAATGAGAAGGCAGTCTGCGGTTAACGCTCACCCCGTGATGCCAAATCAGCAGGAATATGGCCACACTCGTCCACCTTCCTCTTTCACTCTCATCTCTCCCATGCTGCTTAGTGGCAGGTGGGCGGGGCGGGTGTGGTAGGTGTCCGTCTGTGTCATTCAGATTACTGTAGGAGGCTTTTAATTCGGTGTGTTGATGTTCCAGCACAGCGAAGCTCATCCCCAAACTCCTCTTTTGTCTCTGCTTATTAACCCTGTGGTGCAGAATCCCCTGCCCCACACCTCCTCCACCACTCTGCTCTTCAGCCAACTCTCTTTTCTTTCTCTCCGTCCTGCCCGTCCCTCTTTTGTCTTTCATTATGAACGCCCCGGCAACCACCAACCACAGGTTTGGCAAAAATATATCAAGAGGACAGGAGACGAGCCAAGGATGAAAGGATGATGGTGGATGTGTTTTTATAAGAGTGTGTGTGTGTGTGTGTGTGTGTGTGTGTGTGTGTTTCCTGCTGTTTGATCAGTGCTGGCGGACTCTCACCAGTTTAATATGCGTCCAGTTCTCCTGTTTTCGTTCACCTCTTTCCGCTTCTCCTTCAGTTTCTTCTTCTTCCTCTTTGCAGCTGCTTTTATCTCCAACCTTGTTTCTGCTTTCTTCATCTTCGCTCTTATCATGCTTATCAAGTTCACGAGAACTGACTGAAAATACTGTTAGATTGTGAAATGAGGTGTGTTGTAATGTGGACACACACCGACCACTTTTATTGTAGTTTGTGTTTAAATAGAAAACTGTGGAGAGAGCACATTCTGTTAACACGAGACCTGTAAGGCGTCATATAAACAGAAGTAATACTTTAAGCCAACAACATTATGTGTTCAACTTCTCAAATGTTATTTCTGACTACAAAAGAATTAATTTTTCATCTTCTATTCAGTGTTATATTTGATAAAGTAAATATCCTCAGGTTTTGACAACTGCCAGTTAAACAGCTGAATTCCACAATGCAGAGATGTCACTCACTGGGAAACAAGTTTGTTGACTTCAGATTAAAAAGTCAGAGATTAATCTGCAATAAAAGATCATTAGCATTAAAATGGAATCAAATAAACTTCACAAAACTACAGAGATTGAAAAAAAAGAAGTGGATTTAAACGTAGCCCGGTCGAAGTTAACTGTAGAGGAGTCTCGATATAAATTAGATCATCTGCTCCGACTGTCATGGCTCCATCTCTGAGACGGATCCTGAGTTCAAGGCAGAGCTCGAGATGGTTAGCTTTGTTTTCAGAAGCCGGACACCCATTAACCTGTAACTAACCAGTTAATTTTAAAAAAAAAAAGAAAAAAAAAAAAGAACTCAAAATGATGTGAAATACAAGAGGCCTTATCTTTCAGTCGGGCGCTCCAATGACTCCGTGAGCTTTAGTGCATAATTTCAAAGCGCTATTCATTTAGAGGAGATGGCATTTTAATTTTTTGTGATATAAATTTGTGAATAAATGTTTTGTCTTTCAATTTATTTATTTATCTCACAAGGTGTGTCTGATGTTAAGTTGTCACCGTCCTGTACACGTCTTCCGTTTTCACTGGTGTAAATTACAACCCCAAATGCAAAGCCCCTTTTGATGGCTTACTGATAGCAGACACAACGGAAAACAAAAGTCTATAAGGTGATTTCCTGAACGCCAGTGTTTATTATAGACAGTTAAAACATGTTGTTGTGTTTCAGTCTTCTCGAGACATTTGTACATGTGTACCTCCTGTCTTACTGATGATACATCTGGCTTTTATGCTCATGTTACAGTCTCCCACCAAAGCTGTGTACAACGCCAGACATTGGACGTTGGAGAGTGAAGAGGAGCCCCCTCCATCTTTCTTCTCACGATCACAGGCAGCTGCTGTAAGTTCTCAGAACTTGGTGTCACAGATGACTTTGGTCAGTACCAAAAAAGTATTTACGTTCCATGTGCAGCCCTGTGTCTAAACCCATTTCACATCAACCCTCCTCCATTTGACCAGGCGCCGGTCTCAGCAGGAGGATCCAGTAAGGAGTCCCCTGACGCTCAGAAAGACGACAGCGTTTTCAAAGCTCCTCCCCCTCCCCCCAAGGTCACCAAGTGTGTCACCCTGCCCACAGATCTCTACCAGGATGCCGTCACTGCACTCAAATGCCGCAAAGAGCACAAGGAGGTACACGGGAATGTTTAACTTGACAGCAGTTTTATTCATTCCACTTAATAAACTTTCTTTCAGCCTGCAGAGTTACTGTAGAATAGCCTGTATAGTCCTCCCTCTCCCACATCCCTGTCACTCTATTAACTAGTGTTAAAATAAGAGGAAAGGGAGTTTTTAAAAAAGGTATTTTTTCACTCATTCCCCCGTCCCTGTGTTTTCCAGCTGTATACAGTCGTCCAGCATGTGAAGCACTTCAATGACGTGGTGGAGTTTGGAGAGAACCAGGAGTTCACTGATGACTTTGAGTATCTGGCTACTGGTCTGAAGAGTGGACAACCTCTCAACACACGCTGCCTCAGGTAAGATCCCACCGGCACACCCTCCCCGTGCACTGCTGCTGTGGTCTACGCTTGGCTCATTACATTTTTACTTTTACGCATTCAGCTGAGTTAGACCGCCTCTCTAAAGTAGCATAAAAGGTTATATTCTTTCCACCATTTGCTGATGTCGTGTGTGTGTGTGTGTGTTCCTGCAGTGTGATCAGCCTGGCTACACGCTGTGCCATGCCCGGCTTCAGGATGCACCTCAGGGCCAGAGGGAAGGTGGCTCAGGTCTTTAAAACGCTCAACGACGCCCCACAGCACCCGGTAAGGATCTGTCAGTACACATGAACCAAACACACACAGTTCACTTTGCTACAGATGGAATGAGATACAGTAATGAGCAGATATCGTGGAAGTATTACGGTTATTTTTGATTATTTATTTATTATTTTATCAGTCACGACTGCTGCAATTAACCTTCTCCTACTGAATGGATTGAAGTCCCCAAAACTGGAGAGGCGACTGGTCCCTGTCAAGTTGTTGCGCAGTGTCATTAGACTTAAAAATAGATTATAGATCGGTAAAATTCCGCCCCAGGTGATGATGGGAGTTTGAAGGAATTAATATGCTGTCTGTGGTCACTAGGCCTGTCTCAATATTTACATTATCGCCCTATTGTTTGGTATATGGACATGACATTGATCATTTTGCCGACCTCGATACTGCCCGTTGTCACAAAGCTGTAGAAGTTCAGCATGTGTGTGAGTGACACAGCCGTGAGAAATGTCTGAAGTGGATTTCTGTAACGATGTCGTCCTGTTCTGCAGAATCTGGCTCTGTGTACGGCATCACTGATGTACATCCTCAGTAGAGACCGGCTGAACATGGATCTGGACCGATCGTGTCTGGACCTGATGATCCGGCTGCTGGAGCTGGACCAGGACCAGGGGGGCGGGGCCGGGACGGGGACAGACCCCACGGCTCAGTTCAGTGCCCGAGAAATCGCCAAGATGAAGGAGAAGATCAGGAAGCTCTGCGACACCGTGCACAACAAGCACCTGGACCTGCAGAACATAACGGTACTGAGCACATCCTGTGACTGACACGGGGTTTGAGTTCTGTGTCAATCTGCATCACTCTGGTTCCATTTCACTCAGAGTTTCCTGCAGAACTGAAACAGCATTTAGAGCTCTCCACTGAAACCTCTGACTAATGATATCCCTCAGTCAGGTTGACTCACAGCCACCCACACATGTCAAGATATTTCGAGCAGCTGAAGATCGTTTATGATGTAAAACATCTACAGTAAATATCAGGGTTTGGTGTCAGTGTCTTACAGTCAAAGAGGGAAGGTGCTGCAGAGCCGTCATTTCATACCATCAGTCTGAAATCTGAGAAAATATATTCAGCTTCTAGAAACCAACCCAGAATGCACTGCAGCGGTGTCATCACACAGTCACTGGAATGTGCACAACATCAAAGACTGAGATGTGACATGTTAATAGATTGAAGCTGACCTCTTTTGTCCCTCCTCTCTCCCTGTAGACGGGTCATCTAGCCATGGAGACGTTACTGTCTCTGACTTCAAAGCGAGCGGGAGACTGGTTCAAAGAGGAGCTGCGGCTACTGGGAGGACTGGATCACATAGTAGATAAAGGTTGACAATATTTTTATTGATTTCTATGGACTCAGAATAAGTATTGATGCCGATGCGCCTGGTTTCTGATTCTGACTCCCTCTCCGTCTTCCTCCCTCCACAGTGAAGGAGTGTGTTGATAACCTAAACCAGGAGGATGAGAAGGAGAAGATGATGTCGTCTCTGTGGGGAGCTGAGAGGTGTTTACGGGTGCTGGAGAGTGTAAGTGCCGCATGGACCACCAACCCAGAAGCCCTCTCTTTGCACAAAGGATGAGTTACAGTTGGAAGTGTGAAATGAAGCGTGTGGAAAACCTTGTTTATGTTTTGGAATTGCATCCTGTTTCCTCTGGGACTGTTCAGAGGCCTGTGCTACGAAGCCAGTTCACCTTACCCAGGATATCTTTTTATTATCTGGTTTGACTTGGTTGTTAATGGCCAGGCCACATCATCAGAACCGTGAATGAAGTACTTCATATCATATGAGCTGAAAGAGTATCAAAAGTGTCTGTGAGACAGTAAAACGTCAGTGGTGTGGGATGTAAACAGTACTCTGGAAAATGTACAAACATTGAGAATACTATCCAAAAATTTATCGTCGGCCGAGACTTAAATTACCTGTAGGTATCACTGAGCTCTGTGTGGCATTAGTATAGAGGTTTTTTTTTTGCTGTGTAGTTGGATGATGATGAAACTCCTCTGAATATGTCACATAAACACTTTAAAGTAACACCAGACTGTTTCTGGAGTAAAGGCTGGCTGGAAAAGTAATTAATGACTAATGAGATCTATCCTACTAAAATGTTGCATTTAAATAAAGGGAGCCTAAAAATCTTTTTGGGTACCCACTAGCTCACCTGATAGAGCAGGCGCCCCATGTTTAAAAGCTGGGTCCTTGCTGCAGCAGCCGCGGTTTCAATTCCAACCCACGGCCCCTTGCTACGTCTCATTTCCTCTCTCTCTCTCTCTCTCTCTCTCTCTCCCCCTTTCAAGCTGTAGCTGTCATATCAAATGAAGGCAAAAAGCCCCAAAAATAAAAGTAGCAACACTGTCACTGCTGACTAAAATAAAGTTTGCAGAATTTCAAATTCTGCTAAAATCATCTTGGTTTGTTAGAAGCTCTGTTTTAAACCCATGGAAATAAAGCCCTGGAACAATGAAATGATTCTCCTGACCTAGAACAGCATACAGATTCCTCTTTTTTACCTGAGACATTTTTTTTCTTCAGTGATCTGATTGGTCAGAGGTCCTGTGATCCGACACTCAGGTTAGCTGTTCAGCATCAGTTGCCATGGTGATTTATCCCGGTAAAAAGAGAATTTGCTTCGTTGTACTGAAAACTGAGAGTTATTAACCCTGAAGTTTCCTCACTAACTCCAATATCCCGCTTGGTAGTTCAGGTCTCTGCTCCAGCTGGGTCGGTTCAGGTACAGGTCTGTCATTTTTTTTAAAAATTATTTTCAGGTTCACGTTGATGAATCGCAGGTTTGTTTGAAGGCAGGTGCAATTTTTTCGATCTCTAAGGATCCACTGTCACAAACAACTCCGGAGCTGCAACAAAAAGTCAGTTAGTTGATTCTTTGATCGACAAAAACATAATTGGCAACTATTCTGATAATCAGTCACGTGTGAGGATTTGCCGCTTTCTGTGGTTTTACGTTATAGCAGTTTAGTATATTTGAGACATTGGATGAAGTCGCTTAAGGCTCTAGGACATTGAAGGAAGCTTTTCTCAATTTAGCAGTAGTTGAAGAATAGCTTACTAATCAGTGACATACATAACATACAAACATAAGTGTTAGTTGTAGCACTAAACAACACAAATTCTTGTAACGCTGGACGCAGAGCCTCACAGCAGGCTCCCGATGTGCAGCAATAGTTTCGGCATCTTGTCTATTTTTCACTTGAGCCACAAGCAAATCTGGGAAGAGGACACACTAATAAGACACACTGATAATCTCGAATGAACAATATAAAAGACAAATAATATAGGGCAGAAATAATTTGATTATTAGAAATGATAAAATACGCACCACATGCTTCCATATTCCCCAAATTTGTCAGTTGTGTCTAAACATAGAGATGAGCAGACACTCACACACACAAGCGGATGGGAACAGAACTCTACATGTGGTTAAAACAACACCAGTGCAGGGAAATACACTGGTGGTGTGAATGTCCAGGAGAGTTCATAGGACAGTGACATTGATTAGGGCGCCTCCACATCCAGTGTGAACGTGACGTAACCTTAGACCCAAACCATCTGCAAAAACCAACGTACAAAATGCCACAAACGTGGAACAAAACCTGCTTTCTGAGGAAGAAAGTCATTGTGTTTGTGTTTGTGTTTGTGTACGTGCAGGTGACGGTCCACAACCCCGAGAACCAGAGCTACCTGATCGCCTACAAAGACTCATCACTCATCGTTTCTTCTGCAAAGTGAGCACGCACGCACACACAAACAAACACACGCTCTGTGTCACTGTGTGTCTGAAAGTGTTGAACATGAAAGTGTGTGACTCCAGTCAGACAGGATCCAGCATGACTTTGTATTGACGGATATGATCAACACAACACTGCTGGAATACTGAATAACTTTTCATCACCATACTCTTCATCATCTTGTCGTGTCTTTTCACTGGAGAAGTTTAGTGTCCACTGATGGTTAAAAGGTGTCTTCAAAGTTCAGATGAAACAGTGTTTCCAGAGTACCTGGCGTCAGTATTGTGACGTGTTTCAGAGTGAAACTGGCGGATGGGATAAAGCAGGGCTTGACGCTAACTTTTTTCCCAAGGAGCACATGTGCTCCTAAGTTGAAAAAGTAAGGAGCGCACAAAGAACTTTAGGGGTTCAATGTAAATTGATCAAATAATGTGTTTTCCATAATAAACTTGATGCAAACAGACATTTACAAGCAAAATTATTTAATGAATTTGTATACAAAATGTACAGAAAGGTAAAATCATCAAGTTTTGAAAAAGTATTGCAATTTAGTTTTGTCTTTAATGTTATTATCTTATATATATTATCTTTGCAATATGATTATCTTATATAATGTTATTACTATCCTAAAACATTCTCCAGGTCCTCTGAAACTCTGCAGGACTTATTTCCACGCTGCCCATCAGCAATACCGTTGCGAACGGTCCCTAACTGCGGGGAGAACGGAGCAGGCTTCCCCGGAGGTCCGCCGCTTAACCCGGTCCGTCTCCTCCACACTTTGACTTATTTCCACGCTGCCGACAGTGGGACTTATATTCATTGTGCCTACAGTGGCTTGGAAAACCGCCCATAACCGTGTCACACTGGGAAGAGGGAAGAGGGAAGGCGGCTGGAGTTCCTCCAACATTTGCGGTTAGATTATCATATTTTTTATTGACAGAAATATAGGCTGCTTCGGCTGATTTTTTTTTTTGCGCACATGTGCCCCTAAATATTTTTTACAGTTCGCACACACCTATTTTTAGTCGCAAATGTGAGTGAAACACTCGCACTGTCCAGTGCTGGATAAAGTGTTGGGACGAATTTAATTTGATTGTGTAAAACTGGTGGTGTCATAACAGTGAGGGCCTAAAAGTTTTTGGCATATAACGTTAAATAGGTGCACAGTATGGCCGGGAATGTCGTCTGACACCGTGTCCTAACTGTATCTGTCTGACGCTCAGACTGTGTTACATCAGGTGCTCTCTGTCCACACTGAATCTGTTAAATATAGAAATCCATCTCGTCACTTGGCAGTTAGGACAGTCCAATAGAAAACAGCGCAGTCGAACTGATTTAGTCGTTGACATTCGCTCGTGTTGTATCCAGTAATGACATGGCATTTTTCATTTCATCTCAACTTTAAGATTATTCTCGAGGACACACAGAATACTTTAAATACTTCAGTATGAAAATGTACACATACAAAGATGCAGAACACATCAGAACCCTTCAGAAACTCAGATTGACTCAACTGTACAACTCGACTGTATGACTGTGTGTCTTTATAATTCTGTGTAGTGTGTGTGTGTGTGTGCGTGTGTTTGTGTGTGTTTGCACCAGTCTGACTCAGTATGCCTGATGGTTATTATGTGTGGCATTACCAGGGTTTTGTTGTTCAATTTCCTGGTCATGACATCCTGTCAGTCAGAGCTCTGACCTCTGACTGTGACCCCTCCATCAGCAGAGAGACAAAGAGAGAGGGGGGGGAGAGAGGGAGTTGCTTGTTCTCCTTCTTTTTCGTTGTTTCTGAAGTCGAGTGTTTCCAGCACATGTTGTTATTTTTGTCTCGGCTAGTAGGTGATCGAAATCTTGGCTTTGACAGCAGCCTTAAGCTCATCTGTAATGTTTGGTCTGGTGTCTCATCTTCCTTTTGACCCCATCGATTGTCTCTGGGGTCAGGTGAGTGGCTGGCCAATCAAGCACAGTAATACCAGACCAGCATCTCCATAGATCTCCTGGTAGACTGCTGTGTTGACTTTGGACTTGATAAAACACAGTGGACCAACACCACATGGCATGAAATGAAATGCAACATTTACTTTCATGTGAAAAGAGGACTTTGGACCTCTGAGCAACAGTCCAGTTCTGTTTCGCCTTACCCCAGGTAAGATGCTTCTGGTGTTGTCTCTGGTTCAGGAGTTGTCTGACACTTGTAGCCCACTTCCTGGACACTGACTCCAGCCTCCGCTCCTTGTGAAGCTCCCCAAGTTCTTGTATCGGCTTTGCTTGACAATCCTCTCAAGGCTGGGGTCATCCCTGTTGCTTGTGCACACTTTTTCCATCCAGTCATCTTTCTGCGGCTTACCATTCTCAAGGAGGGTGTCAGTGAGTGTCTCCTGGGCATCTGTGAAGTCAGCGGTCCTCCCCATGATTGTGGTTGTGTGTACAGAACCAAACAGAGATTAAAGGCTCAGGAAACCTTTGTTTTGAGTTAATTAGCTGATGTGAGCTCTTCTCAGGATTGTGTGAGTCTAGCATATATATAGTTTTCACTTTATGTAAAATAACTAACAAGGAATATTAAACTTTTTCCACCATATTCAAATTTTTTGAGAGGCGCCTGTGTGTCAGCTGATGAGGAACAACTTAAAGAAATTCTGTCTCATACAGATTTTGTCGTTAATGTGTTTTCTGTTAAAAACTAAAATATCTCAAATATGATTATCGGCCTCATAAATACAGAATCTGTCTTTACCTTCTCACTCCTCCTCCTTCACCCTGTGTGTGACCGGACCTTCGTCCCCTACGGGGGGGGGGGGGGGGGGGGGGGGGGGGGGGGGGGGGGGGGGGGGGGGGTGAAGGCTAAGTGGGTCAACAAAGAGCTGCTGTTTCAGAGGGTGACACAGGCCTCAGTCTGAGCGTTCAGCTGTCCTCGCTGTTAACTCAATTAACCCCAAATCCCCGGGGTGAACGAGAGAGCACTGCCACCTAAACTCTACACACACACACACACACACACACACACAGAGTGTATACATGTAACCTTTGCTTGAGTTGACTCCAAGTCTTCCTCCTATCATTTACGCTTTCCCTCCTCTTTCATCACTGATCCGTCTCCCTCCTCTGTGTCCTCGTCTTTGTCACTCTACCCGCTGCACTCATTGTTTCAACCCAACCTCACCCCTCTGCCTCTCGGAGTGTTTCAGCTGTCCGCAGGACTAATTCAATAATCCCCCAAACCAGCCTTTTAGGCAGCAAACACTTGCACACACAAAAGTCCTATTGCTCAGTGACTGTCCTCATCTGCGTCCGAGCAGGAACAAAAACTTTTCTTGACACACAAAGCTCTGGTGTTTTTGCAACTCAGGCCGTACTCCTGGTGCACAGTGGATGCAGAAGCACCGTGAAGCACACAGATTGTCCATGCAGTGCTGCCCGTTTCCTCTTGGCGTCCATGTTAACCAGTCGGGCTGTTCACACAGGATGCGCCGTGTCCCGGAGCTCTGCAGTCTGAGCTCTGTGGCCCAAGCTCTGACGTCTGGGCTCCACAGCTGGACCGTGACTGTTTCAGCGTCTGGTCTACATTTTCTGCAAGTGAAAAATGACATCATACCTAGAATGTGTCTCCTGTTTTCATATCCGTCATCTCTTAACTGTCACTTTGTCCCATCCTGTCTTACTGTCGCCCTCCATAGGACACATTCAGTTCTATAGTGATAACCCTCTTTTCTTTTTCTTTTCTCTTTGTCTTTTCTTTATTTCCTTCCTCTCACTCCGTCCTGGTGTTCAGACTCTGCTTCTGCTTTCTGTTCAGTCACCGCTGTCATTAGATTTAATCTAGTTATTTACATCAGGCGGCTGACCTGTTTCACCCCCACTTTTGCTGCTGCAGCCGGCCTGTGTGTATGCGTGTGTGTGTGTTTCTCTGAATGCTGCTCTGTTTTATGATGGAGTAGAAAAGGAAAGAGGAGAGTCGAGTTGAGATCGACGCAGGCCTTTGGTCAGATACTGAATTGGTGACATTAATCTTGAAACTGTGCTGATTGTATAGGTCTTCTGTGTGTGAAGCATCCATGTTTTAGATTTTAGTACAGAATGCTGTTTTTAACTGTTTTCCTATTTTTCCTATCTGTCCGTCTGTCTCTCTCTGTACATCTGTCTCTCAGGGCGTTGAGGAGGTGTGAGGAGATGATCCAGCGTTACAGCAGGGAGCTGAACTCAGACGCAGCTGTAGGGAAAGCAGTGGAGGACTGTATGAGGGCCATTATAGGCGTCCTGCTCAACCTGACGCACGACAACGGTTAGCAAACACGCACACGCACACACACACGCACACACACACACACAGATTAAAAACACACTTTACTGCAGCTGGTTGTTGGCACATAAACATGTTTACAGGAGTTTAACTGGAAACTAAAAGGTTGATAAATTGATTTAGTGGGAGTCATTGAATTATTACAAACAGCTGACCTGTGATTGATTACAGTATATATCTCTCTGTGTTAACCTGTGTGTGTTATTGTGTTAATGTGTGTGTGTGTGTGTGTGTGTGCAGAGTGGGGCAGTACGAAGACCGGAGAGCAGGAGGATTTAATAATGACAGCTCTGAACTGTGTTCTCAAAGTACCTCAGTATCTTCCACAAGAGCAGCGGTTCGACATCCGGGTACTGGTGAGTCTCACACACACACACGCATAGGAATAACAATATGTGTCCTCAAAGTTCCTGCTGGAGGATGAAGGGGTGTATAATTTAAAACTTTGACGCTGTCCGTCAGCCAAAGGTGCTCAGAATCTGTGAAACACTAACTGTTACAGAAGGACGAACCCTTCGTCACACTGTTAGTGAGGTTGACGCTGTGTTACATGAATAACTCTGACTGTGTGTGTGTGTGGCGTTCAGGGTCTGGGCCTGCTGATCAACCTGGTGGAGTACAGTGCCAGGAACAAGTACTGTCTGATGGAGATGGAGATGGAGGGAGGTCAGGGTCCCTGCGACTCCACCGTCCTGCTGAACCCTCAGCACCAGGACATCACCAGCAGCGGCCCGCTGAGCGCTATCGCTGCTCTTGTACAGGTACGCTCCAGCTCAGCGTGTGTGTGTGTTTTGTCATGTAAATATCTTTTTGGCTTTGCTTGCCCAGCCTCCACTGGTTAGTAACATTAGCCTGGGCCGCTCTGTACTGCGCACCACCCAGGTTGGGTTGGAGCTTATGTTAGCTAGCTAGCAGCACTGCTTAGGCTTTGGCGCTATCCATTTATTCACACCCAGATACCCTCGCAACATTTTAAATATATGATGGTAAACTGAAGAGCAGTAAAATTAACCTGTACACCGACATTTTCTGAGTTGTTACCAGACTAACAGTTAATGTTTGACATTCTTCAGTTACAGTAATCTTCTTTGGATAACTGTCCCTGTAATGTGACACAGTGGCAAATTCTGTAGCTGTTAACGTAACGTAGCTCTGCTGTGCACCAATATGTGACAACAGTTGTCACCATCACGTACGTTTCTTCTTCTTCTGTCTGAAAAGAGTTTGAATCTTTGAGTTTGAATTATATATGTAGTAAGTGAAAAATTACATTTTGACAGTGTGATTGAATGTTCGGATCATGACTCCCAAAGTTTCCATACCTCCAATCCTCCCACTTTAAATTATTCTGCATTTCTGGACATTTTATTGTGGGTCCTTGAAAAATCTGGGGAAAAAATCTGAAATTTTGTCCATGAAAATGTCTGAAACATAAAGATACTGAGAGCCCTCCATTCTCATATCCAGCGGCAGCGACTTCCCCAGTTTAGGGACATAAAAACTGAAGACACTCACTGCTACTTTTATGTGACATGGATTTGCAATTTTTGTCAGAATAGTCGTTGAAAACACAGAAAGAAACAGCAAACTTAACATTTGAGAAGCGAGAAAACAGGAATGTTTGGTCTTTGTGCTTCATAGATGACTTAACAAGTCAGCAATTATCAGATAAGTTGAGCTCCTAATGTTCAGTTGATGGCGTAATCCATTCATTTACTTATCACATTAGTCCTTCTTCGGGTAGAGCAGGGAATGACCAGTGAACCAGCTGTTGTAGTTTTCAGTAATGTAATATCTAGTTACTGTAGGTTTGGTTCTGTGATATCTGTCTGCCTCCACCCCAAAATTATGGAGGTGAGTTTAATTTCACAGCCCTGAAGACATCTATCCACACAAGCCGCATCGGATCAGTGAAAGCATCATTTACATGTTAGACTGTAAATTAATAGTGGTGTTATTCTGGGTGCTCACGATTCGTCTCGTCAGTGTTTTGCTCTGTACTGCTGTGGCGGCTCCGTTTCCCATGAGCACCATTAAAGCTTCATTTAAATCGAATCATCTCGTGTAATCGGATTTGGCTGATGGTGTTCCAGCGAGGTCAACAGAGGAGTCAGCAGCAGCAGCAGCCTGATGACATACAGACAGTAACAAGACACCAGAGAGGAGAGGTGGAGATGATTTCTCGTAAAAGCAAAATAGTCAGGAACAGATACACAGACAGGATGTGACTTCTTCAGTCTTTTCTAAGAGTAAAAAAAGATGGAGTCAGCTCTGACTTCAAGCATCAAGAAATGACTTTAAACACATTAAATGTTGAAGTGAAAGAGTAACTTCAGTATTTTTAACCTGGACTCAACTTTCGCTTGTTTTTTGTCTAAGTGACTGATGGGAGCAACAATTTTTAAAGATCAATTTTTAAAGATTCCACTGCTGTCCGTCCGCTAACCGTGTTTGTTTTTGTCACTGACAGGCTCAGATTGTTATTCTAAGTGTTTGACAACATCATGAAAGGATCCCGACAGAGATAGAGCTTTGTGTTAAAGAGTAAGATCCTTTTTGTTTAACCAGAAACAGCCCTGAAAAACAAACAAAAAGGATCTAACGCTTTAACACAAAGCTCTATCTCTGTAGGGATCCTTTCCATAATGTTGTCAGATTCTTAAAATAACCTGAGCCTGTCAGTGACAAAAACAAACAGTTTTGGCGGACGCACGTGACGATGCTCGGTTGCCTGCAGGGATTACTTTGCAACTGGTTCCCGCAGTTATACTTTAAGCCGGCACAGCTGCTTGAAAGATTTCACTGAGTATATTAAACTGTAAAGTCAGGTGTTTGTGAAGCACCTTTCAAACAAGTCCATCAAAGCAGAATATAATGAAAAAACCCAGACAGTAACATAAACAGGAATTCAGATTCGCTAACTGTTAACATCCGTCTTTGTGTTGGTCGTCCTCAGCTGTTTCTCCAGCGGGAACGGGCCGCCATCCTGGCTGAGGCGCAGACAGATGACCTCATCAAGGAGGCGCCGAAGCCTGCACTGGACCAGAGCGGGGAGTGGCAGGAGACGGGCGGGGAGATCCAGTGGGTCGCCAACGACAACAACACCGACAAACAGGAGGATGAAAAGAAGGAGAAGGACGAGGAGGACGAGGAGCTGGACCTCAACAAAGGTAAAGCCACGCTGTTTTTTGTTGTTGTTGTTGTTGTTGTTTTTTTGTTTTTTTTTGTCTAAATTCATGAATAAAAAACATGATACCTGAACATGGTTCTTCCTTCCTCCTCCTCATCCTCCTCCTCAGCTCTGCAGCACGCAGGGAAGCACATGGAGGACAGCATCGTGGCCTCCTACACAGCACTGCTGCTGGGCTGCCTGTGTCAGGGGAGCCCGGTGAGTGACACACACACACACACACAACACCAGAGATGGCAGATATAGAAGCGATGCACCGAGTGCATCTGCAGCTGAAAATAAATATAATAGTGATAGAAGCTGAAAAATAACTAGTAGCAGGAGGAGTTTAATATTTTGTACCCTCACAGTGTGCCTCAGTTTTGTACCCTCCTCAATTTTAGGTTGTTTATCAGACAGACTTCTCCTGTAGATCAAAGCTGGTGTTCTGAATTGTAGTTGGGGTGCCTCTGGTTTCTTTAGGCCAACACAGTCAGCTTCAGCCTGGCTCATAGCTGGTAAGATCTTCAGCAACTCTGCGGTGAACAACAGTCGAGAGACAAGCAGTGAAAACGTTGTATTAAACAGATGCTTTATTCCATCTGCGCAGCCAACGCAGAACACGGCTCCTTTTAAAGACGCTGTACTGGACCCGGAAGTTACATGGCACTGGGCCTGATTATGGTACTTTTCTAATCAAAAACACACACAGGAGAGTCTCACTTCCCGTAGATTGCGTCACGGACACATGTCACCTGTCTTAAAGGGGACCGGTAGCATCAGTCATGGAAAATGAGAACCGTGACATTGCAAATCCTGCGATGCAGTTGTTGCTCACACACACGTTGCTGCAACCATGTATTGTGCTGCTGCCACAGAATGAAACCAGTGAGCTCTTTGGTTTAATGATACTTCATTATATTTTTAAGCCCGTTTGATCCGCTTCATCCAACTGAATCCTCTACACACACTGGATACACTGCACGCATAAACATGCATTACATACATACCGGTACATATGGAACCTGAGGCGTGCGCAGGATCACAGTGTGCACTTATAATTATCAGTGTTTAGCTGTAAATAACACGCACAACACAATCTCTTTAAATGTAATGTCAATTTTTTTATTCTTAATTTTGTGTGTATCATATTTTCTGTCTCTCTCTCTCTCTCTCTCTCTCTCTCTCTTTCTCTGTCTCTGTCTCTCCACCAGTTGAATGTGACTACTGTGAGAGATAACCTGCCCAAAGGAGATTTCTCCATCATGACAGAAATGCTGAAAAAGTTCCTCAACTTCATGAACCTCACTGTGAGTCGCAGCTCTGATGATACTTAACGTTATTCCATGAGTTATGACGCCATGTTGCCTCCAGTGGTTTATATCGAGGGTCACTGTGGGGAAGTTTTCTAAAATGACGCTTTAAATAAATTAAAGCTTTTATTAAAGCTGAAAACGATTTGCTTTGGCTTGGTGACTGGAATCCCACCCACTGGCTTCACTTCAGGTAACAGGTGTAACAGGTATCGGTGATTGATTTGACTGACCAGTGGTCTCTGAAAAACAATAAAGAAAAAGTGTGTGTGTGTGTGTGAATACGATTGTTGTACGCAGACGTTTTAACGAAGTGACCTCTCCTCTTTCTGCAGTGTGACGTCGGCACCACAGGACAGAAGTCCATCTCCCGGATCATTGACTATCTGGAGCACTGCTAGAGAGAAGCCTGTCTCACTCTCACACACACACACACACACACACACACACACACACACCACAACCATCTCCTTCATTTTCATCAACGCCATCATCATCACCGTCACTTTGTTATTTTCTTCTAACATACACACGTCTTCATCATCATCATCTTCCTCTCTGTGTTGTGACCAGACGTCGCCCTCATCCTCCAGTTAAAGAAGTGCTCTCCTTGTTTTCATCATGATGACTGATGAGTCTTTTTCCCTGAAATCGACCTGAGATGAACTTAAATTGATTCTGACTTAATGAGGGATGCCCCCCTGCCACACACACACACACACACACACACACACACACACACACACACACACAGTCACACACAGTCACACACACACTTATTTTATTTTGCTTTTATTAAAGGTCCAATCCAAGGCAGTATTTTATTTTTTTCCACACGTCCTTTATTTATAAAAGCTGCACCAAATGATGTTTTTTCGGGCATTTTTAAATCTGGTTTTTAGTCTTTTCTCACCTGCCCCCCCCACCCCTCTTCATCCTGTGAAAACTGCCCACCTTCCTATCGATTGGTGACAGACTGGAGTGGAGCAGCCATTTTCTGCAGCCTGTCATCAAAGCCTGGCGGCCCTGCGCTCTGCCTCTGGAGCTCATAATTGCCAAAACAACTCAAGTGGTTAAAAAAACAACTACTGACCGAAATAATGGCTTCACACGCTGTGTTCTTCTTCTCCTCTTTTTGCTGCGCTGACCTCTTGACTCTGTCGGAAGGAGGCGGTTTGAGGCAGAGAAATCAAAAGTATCGATCTTTTCTGGCCAAAGAGGACAGAAATAGCGAGTTCAGACCCTGAATTGCAGCTTTTGTGAAGTTAAGGTGGCATTTTAAGGCGGGATGGCCTGTAAATGTTTGCATCAGGTCTGTTTTTAGGTGTTTTCCGTCAGTCTAAAACCAGAAAAGTTCTCTTTTCTTCAACCTCTGCAGCAGACGAGCTGATTTTAAATCGCTTGTTGTTCTTGTTGCCGTTGTCGTAACAGGTGCTCTTCCCAGCATGCCGAGCGCGCACAACAGCACACCTGAGACAAACAGAACGATCCTCGAGGTTGTTAAAACTCTCTGGAAACTTTGGACGACTCCCCACCCCCCTCTAAAAGCAGAAACTTTCTCCTTTCATAGAATCGATCGCCCTCTCGCTCGACATCAAAGCTTTGTGTCTCGGCGGGACCCGAGCCCTCCGGACCAGAACCTGTCCTCCTTCAGCTCCTTTCAATTACCGCCCGCGTGCGTGCTTGCCGCTCACAGAAGAGACTTCAATTAAAGCACAAAGGCAGCGGCGATGCCCCGGTCTGAGAGGTGAAGACGAGCTGCTTGCTGTGGTTTGAAGTGAGCCACCAGCGGAGAGGCTTTCAGAGATCAAGCTGATGCTTTCCTGTTCGGGTTGTTTGTAGCCGCAGAGACTTCAGCTGCAGCCGTTAAATCTTGAGGATTTGTCGTCTTTATGGAAAAATCCTCCTCTGATCCTTTTGTCAGATCCAATCAACTCATTTACAGGAAGCAGTTTTCTGCACTGTGCTGTTTTACATTTCCCTGAGCCTGTGTTCTTGTTCCCAGGATGCATTTCAGCAGAGTGCAGCTGCTGGGAGGGTGAAAACTGTAGAAGTTAGTTTCCTTTCTGTTGGATTTCTGCACGCTGATCAGTCCAACATGGCGACTAACAGAGGAATTCAAAACCTTTCCAAAACCTCCCTTTCCTGTGTTTTTTAGTGTTTTTAGATCGCTTTATTAAAGATATCAGACTGAGACTGAGATGCAAAATGCAGCAGCTGTTTGTCAAAAGATTTGAGGCGATTTTTTCCTTTTTTGCTCTTTTTTTTATATTTATGAACCATCGTTTGACGGCACAGCATTTATTAGGGGTTTGTAAATTGTAACAAATTCTTAATAATGCGTAAAAAGTTGTTTATTTATATAGAAAAATAAAATCTTAGTCTTTGATCAGACTTGCAGACGACATCAGGAGCCTCTGGACCTCATTGTTTTCACTATTTGTGGACGTTTTCGGCTGCTGTTCTTCTTCGAGTTACCTGCTAACTGCTACTTTTTAAATCTCCCGCTGTGGGTCACACACATTACACGGCTTCAAAACGTCATACCTGACCTGCCCATCTTGACAGCTGTCTGGTTTGCACAGACATTATTTTGGTGCTGTCACCACCTCCATTCCGGCTCAGAAGTGAGACAACTCTGTCCCTCCGTTCCACAGTCGTACCTTAAACACAGAGACGGAATAACAGCGTGACACTCCCGCCTTGAACAGGAAATGTCAAAGGAGCTTTTGTGTCATCTTATGTTGTTTACAGATTTTCCTCACCTGTAGCTGTTTAACATGACACGTAAACTGTAAAATTGATGGATGGCTAATAACTCAATCTCAAGACATCAACAGGTGATTAATTAACCTTTAATAAAGTCACTCGTTACAACTTCTAAACACTTTTTAAAGGCTGCAGTGTGAGGAAGTGACACCAGCTTGCTTTTTCTCCATCTCGTTTGTCGTGATGAAGACGAGCTGGGAGAGTGAGACGCAGAGGAAGGACGTTAAAGAGATGTTGAATATCAAAAATGGGACTTTATTTAAATAAGAAAAACTTTAAAAATAATCCCTGACACATAAGTTTATCATTTAAAAAAAAACAAAGATGACCGCGTCTGACAAAATCAAAAGGGACGATCTGCTTTTGATGCTTTTGCGAAAAAACAATGTTACATTTTTTTTTTTTTTTTTTAAAGTTGTCTCCCGAGAACGAAGTGTTCAGGTCAAAGTGATAATTTGTTCCGTTAACTTTTCTCAAGTGTTTGTCCATCAGGGCAGAAAAAAAAGTGTTCCCCCGGAGAGTCTCAGACGGCCTGTCACCATTCAGTTTGTTTCTGTCTAAGATAATCCAGGTGGGCAGGATTCAGATTCTTTGATTTGGAAAATTCACGTATGATTGTGTTCTCGTTTAAATACAGATGAGTTTCTTGTATATTTCATCAGCTGTAAAAGTTTGTGTCATCGTGCATGTTCATCCCGTTCACTTGCATCTGTCTGTTTCTCTGTGGTCATCACACACACACACACACACACACACACACAGTTTAACCCTCACACTCCTTTTCTTTAAGTTTACAAGAGCTTTATTCACAGACGTCTGGAAGAATGAATGGAAGAGCTTTTTGTACATAGTTGTTGTACATAGATTGATTTCCTCGTGTAGGAGGAGAGGTTGATGGGTAATTGGGGGGGTGGGGTCGTGGGTGGGGGTGGGTGGGTTAAATTTAAATTTAGACTGGTAGACTCTACTTTTCTGAATCTGACTCTATTTTTCATTTTCTAAAGCCTTTTCTCCCGTCAGTCAGTCGTGTTGTTGTTTTGGACAGACAGACAGACAGAGAGCTTCTTAACAAGCCAACTGCAGGAAAACTTGATCTTTGTACCAATTTGCAGACTGATGTCTTTGGTTACCTGTACATAATTTTAAAATAATAAAAATTGCTACTTTCAGTACTCCCTGCTCCGTCTGTCTTTTCTCTCATTTCTCAAAATCTTCTGAACTTTGGTCAGATTATCAGAAAACATTTCTGCAGGGTTTTTTTCTTTCAGAGGAACTCTGCTACAGACAGTTTGGTCACAGTGGGAAAAAGACTTATTGAATAATAATACAACATCATAAATTCATGGTCTCTGTGCTGCTGCAAGAAACAAATGTTTTCACTCAACAACAGGTCCAGCACTTCTCAGACAGATACAACTCTTTGCCAGTAAATAATGAAAATAATGAAAAATGCACTACAGAAAACAAACAGTGACATTCTTGTAGAAAAAAGTCTCATTTTTAAAAGTTCACTCAGTTTATAAAAGTCATTTGGTCCCGCTGTTTCTCTCCCACATGTCCTCATTATAATTCCTCTGCTTCTCGTCTGTGCGCGCCGGGCCTCCGCTGCTCCTCCCGGTGTGACAGTCCCTGATGGGCCCTGATGGCTCCCCTGCTGCCGCTGTGGTCCCCTGTGAGTGCGGAGCGGGCCCCGGGGCCCGTGGTGCGCGGGTTAGCACCGAAGCTCCGCACGCGCCCTCCTGGAGCAGCTCGCTGAGGGTGGCGATGTAAATCTGCGCCATTTGGAGCGTCTCAGATTTGGAGAGCTTCTTGTCGCTCTCCAGGTTGGGGATGACGCTCCGCAGCCGGTCGAAGGCGACGTTAAGCCCCAGCATCCTCCTCCTCTCCCGGGCGTTGGCGGCGAGGCGTCTCCGTCTCTGCGCCCGCTCCAGAGCGCACTTGTCCGGCTGGAGATAGTGCAGCGCGCCGCCGCTCGGGCCCAGCCGGAGCTCCACGATGGCGCACGGGGCGTCTCGGTGGTCGCAGCCACGTCTGGTGCGCTCTGACCCCGCTCGCTCCTGCGCGCGGCTCCGTTGCAGCAGAGCTTGGATGTCGGCGTGGAGAGCCGCCGGGGCCGCGGGGCCGACTCCTCCCTCCGGCTCCACTGAGATGAAAGGCGCGAAGAGACTTTTACTCGGCGGCATCACTTCTCTTCTTTCCCGGAACAAACTTGTTCCAAACACCGTCAACAAAGTAACACACGGTCAACTTTCTCCACTTTGATGCTGAATTTATGGAGACGGGAGCCGCGAGGACGCGCAGTGCGCGCTGCGGGGGCGTGGAGAGGGTCGTGTGCTGCCTAATGAACAGAGCCAAAGTCCGCCGCAGGAGGTCCGTTAACCAAGTTCATCAAAAGAGGATTAGAAGCGTCTGAGTGCGCTGCTGTGGGCCGATACATGGAGGCGGCCAAGCAAAGGAGCAGCACGGCCAAGGAGGGGAGGAAGGAAGGACAGATTCGAGGAAGCATCAGAGAAGGTGGTCTGACGGAAAAACTAAAGGAGAATAAATTAAAGCTTCCGCTCAGTTTTACTGAAGAGACGAAGAACAACATGATGAAAAAATATGTCTCATGCAGCTCTGAAGTTGTTGCAGATGTTTGAAAGTATACAGGCCTTAAAAATACAGATGTTGAAAAACTACAGACACAACAAAACAAGTAAATCTGCACTCTGAGCACACTGCTGAGCGCACTGCCTCAGTAGGTTACTATTTAACCACCTTAAAAAAAATCCATATCAGTTTCAGAGGACACTGTATTTAGAATATTTTCTCCAATGTCTGACGGAGAACTGAAGCTGTTATCTGAAAGCTGCTGCCTCCAGTTAGTGTGTGAGATAAAACATATATATTGATCTTTTTAAGTGGGTTAAACACATGTTGCTGTGGTCCGCCCACAGCTGTACGATGTTTAGCTTCAATTTGCTTTATTAAAGACGCTAGCAAAGCAACACAACATAAAATAAATGCAGAGGAAATGTCAGATAACTGTGTTTAACGATATGTCTTTAAACGTCACAGCTGTGGCTGAAGGTGAAAACTGAAATAACCAAGTTTGCTGATGTCATGTATCGCCACAATTTAAATGAATCGAGTCCCAAGGAAGGAGCCCTGCGGATCCCCCTACAGAGGTCTGGGTGATGGCCCCGATGTCCTCAAATCAAATGGAAACGCCCCTGCTCAGTGTTTAAATTTGACCAATAAAATCATGAATAATTTAACTATACAAACGTATACAAACCAACAGCTTCTCTGCGGTCGACCTGTTTCTCTTTGCAGGAGTCAAACGAAGGAAGTGCACCTGTACAGCTGACACTGATGACATCAGAGTGTCACTAGGAAGTGACAGAATTCTAAAATCACAACCAAAGAACTAAAGAGAAAACAACAGTCTTTTAATTTATGGTTTACCACCACCTCAGAATTTTGTTTGGTTTGGTTTTTGCTCACAGTTTGTGAGGACGCAGTATTTGGGCGACTTCCTGGCTGCAGACCTGCTTCTCTTCTTTCATTGTTTCTCTTCATCACAGTCCTGCTGTGTTTGGATCGCAGAGTTTTTCTCATCCAGAGCACTTTTTAATTTTGTTAAAAAGTGCCTCATGAATAAAGTCAGATTCCAGGCCTACAGTCAGTGTGTCAGACCCTACTTCCTGTGTGTCCTCCACAGGTTGCAGTGTGGTTGTGATATTTGTCTCATCAGCTCATCAGCTCGTCACTGTGATTCCTGTTTTTTGGGGTGAATTAAAAGCGTTGTGGCTCCCTGAGGTTAAAGCCCGGTGATGACTGACAGTAACTGGCAGCCTCGTATCCTCTGGACGAACTCTAATGGGATTTAGCAGCGTGTCCTGACCGCCGTGTGCCAGCACTCTGCCAGGCCTGGCCCTGCCTTTACAGACGCCTCAGCATGGCACCGGGTTGGCACAAAGATGGCTGCGTGACACACAGGAACATAATAGACTCCTTATGGCCAGCAGGACCCTCGCTGTCTGAGGCTGCGGCTTGGTTTCTTTTTAATCTCCAATCTGGAGCACGTGGGGAGGTTTGGCTTCACGGCTCACATGACAGTTGTTGGCACGCTCCGCTTTATTAAACCCAATGAAACGGCTCATTGCAGCCAGCGGACGGACACGGGCCGCAGATCAAACCCTCACACCGCCATGACAGGCCCATACAGATGACACCACACAAGTGTTTGGTCCTCTGACCGGATCACCGTCTGTTCTTCTGCGTTTACGATGTTCTACAAACTCCATCAAGTTGGAAACCTTTAATTAATTTTTTTATTGTAACAGACTGTTTAACGTCTTTCAGCCCTTTCTACCTGTCGTTGTCTCTCAGCTCCAAGTTTATTGTTTCCAGCTGGAGACATAAATCTTGTAAAAGAGCTCACCTTAAATCAGCTGCTCACTTTAAATTTTATCAAACTAACGGGGGGAAATATAGTGCCTTTGTTTGGGACTATTTTCAGCGGCAGATTATAGTGAGTGTTTGTGGCAGCAGGACAGTGTGAGTTTGTTTTGGTCTGACTAAAACGGATGGATTGGCTGACGAACAAACTGACTTCTGCTTGAAGAAATAAAAGTAAAATGGAGCAGTTAGTGATTAGGAGAAGTTTGTCTTCAGTTGTTAACATGCTCCGCTTTATTAAACCCAATGAAACGGCTCGTTGGAGCCAGCCGACAACACAGGCTGCCGATCAAACCCTTTAGTCTTTCACCACTTTCATCCACTGAGTCAGTGAAGCAAACAGCCGCCAGAGGAAAATGTTGGAATAGTACATTGCTGCCATGGATACATTACATTTGTATGTTTCATACGCATCTTATCAACATTTCTAAAGTGGCGTAATAGACGAGCTGATTTTGTCATCAGCAGGTGGAGGGGATGTTGGATGATGTGAGGCTGCAGACCACTGTTCAGCACCAACAAACAATAAGACCTGCCGGAATTTAGCGACTCATCACTGTTTTCAGCTGTTTAGTCAACAAGCGTTTTTTTTTTTTTTAGCCGCCTGGCGCTGCATTTCCTGGGAAGACTGTACAAAACAACACATCCTCACTCCGACCTTGTCACATGTCCAAGTTTGGTCATGGACCCACCTGCCCTGTTCGGACTTCCGCCACCTTAACTTTCATTGTTGTCCCGCCATGTTTCTCCCTGACACCGCCAGGCACTGTCAAACAAGAACAGTGACTGGCCATGTATCATACCGACGTGACAGGATAGCTTTTTTTCGTTGCTGTCTGTTGCCGGAAGTCACTGCCAAAGCTCAAATAAAATTAATAAATAAATTAGCTCTAAAGACCAAAACTGTTTTTTGTACCAGGCTGTAAACCTGTTTATTTCTGCAGTAAAATTTTAACATGGGGGTCTGTGAAGATTGACTCGCTCTTGGAGCCAGCCTCAGGTGGACATTAGAGGAACTGCAGCTTTTGGCACTTTAGCTTTGGCTTCATTCTTCAGTGCCGGAGGGCGCTGCAGGGTTTCCAGCAGGGATTGTTCCTCCAAATTTTGAGCCAAAATATGATCTTTTCCAAACCATAACCAACTGGTTGTTGAGCCTAAACATAACCACATGTTTACAGCAGTGTTGTCATAACACAAGTTTCAGTGTGTCTGCTTCATGAATACAAAGAAATGTGAAGTATCCACAGTTTACAGGAACGTGCAGTGCCAACAGTTACCATGGTGATTAGTTTGAGGCAACACAGTGATGGGTTTTCAACTCTTATTCGTGACCGTACAAGTGTGTTTGCATGTTTCAGCCAATTTAATACAAATGGTTGTAGATGATTTTTCTCTCTCCCAGTTCAGCCATTGGTTTCAGCTGATTTCATTTTGCTGTGTGGAGATTCAGTCAGTTCATCATACGGAATATTTTCCTGCCTTTATTCTGTGGAACTTGTGTTGTTTTCAGCTGCCAATGCAGCGCCCACAAGTCAGCGAAACACAGTCTAAGGTTTAAAAGAGCTCTGGGGAAAATGATTGCACTCGTGAACTTTGCCTTTGAAATGTTGTATACAGAGAAATAAATGGACACCAGTGGAAGTTTGGCTGTTTAACCTCTGAAATCACAGATGTCTGAGTGCCTTTAAATGCACCAACAGGACAGAGTCGTAAAAACCAGATCACATAACACTGAAACTATGAAATAAAAAGTTTATTTTCATGGATAATCTGTAAACCAATCGGCAAAATAAATGTTGGCATTGAGCATTTCTACAAACCACAGAAAAGTTATTACTGCATATAATTATGAAAGCAAGATAGATTTCCCTTCTGTCATCAGTACATGGAACAAATTGTTGTTATTATTGGAAATTATGAGGTAACTTCACCAAAGCAAAATTTAGCAGTGGTCTTTTTCAAAGTTGATGCCAACACATAAAACTGGACTGTGATTAATCACAGAGTGTGTGATGCATCTCATCAGAACCCCATCCCCAGGAAAAAATGTTGGCATTGTACTGTACATGTGTACGAGCTGCTTATCCAGTTTTTTTAACAGGAGTTGGGGACATTTTTCTTGCACTGTTCGTTACGATATTTTTAACAAGAGTTTGGGACATCTCCAGCCATGTTTGTCGCTTCAAAAGCAGGTATTTTTGTCAAAAAGAGTTTAAGACATTTCCCTTTGTGTTTGCAGTGAAAAAAGCATGTGTTTTTTTTTTAACTTGAGTTTGGGACATTTCTAGCGATTTGCAGCGACAAAAGTGGGTATTTTTTAAACCAGTTCGGGGCATTTCCAACTGTGCTAGTAGCAACAAAAGCAGGTATTTTTTTCTCTACAGCTTGGGACACTTACCTCTGTTTTTGTAGTGACAAACTGGTATTTTGTTTCGTCAGTTTGGGGCATTTCCAGATGTGTTTATAGCATCAAAAGCGGGTATCTTATACTGACAGGTTGGGACATTTCTGTCTGTCTGTACAACAAAAGCAGGTGATTTTTAACGAGAGTTTGGGACATTTCCCTTTGTGTTTGGAGTAAAAAAAGCAGGGTTTTTTTTTAACAAGAGTTTGAGACATTTCTAGCCATTTGCATTGACAAAACCAGTTCGGGGCATTTCCAACTGTGTTTGCAGCAACAGCAGCAGGTATTTTTTCACTACAGCTTGGGACAATTTCCTATGATTTTGTAGTGTATTTTGTTTAACCAGTTTGGGGCATTTCCAGCATTGTTAGTTGCGACTAATGTTGGCAA